ATTTTCATTAAATTATAAAGTGCTAATGTGATGTATGATATATCCATGTATGTTATATTTTTATTAAATATTTTATATATAAAACATCGAAAATTGTTATATTTTCATTAAATTATAAAGTGCTAATGTGATGTATGATATATCCATGTATGTTATATTTTTATTAAATATATATAAAACATCGAAAAATAAAAAAAAAATTACATAAAATATTTGGGTTTTTTTTTCCATCTAATTACCTATAACACCTAATCCTAATCCGCTTAATCCACTAATCCTAATTAGACCTTAATTGGATTAATCAAAAGTGGGCACAGTGAGGACACACCGTTGATTATGGTCTTTTCATGTTAATAAATGTCTAATTACTAATTTATATCACATTTAAGGTCCAAAGAAAGACCTGCAATAGGCAGATGTAGCTCTTTCAAAATGCCTGGTTAATAAAAAATTTGAAATGTCATTTGTTGGCTATTTATATCGACAATGGCGGGCGGCTTAATGGCATTTTTACATCCACTTTTGGGAATTTTATTATTTTTAGTTCACTTGTGAAATTCTAATACGGATAGCGCCCTCTCACCAAAAGAATAAAGACCTAAATTAATCCGATTTCATAATTTTAAAACGGCTGCATACTGGCTTTATTTGACTTAAAAATAATAAAAAAATTAGAAACTTTGTTATAACTTTTCCAAACATTTCTTTTTAAATTCCAATTACTTGTTTCATGCTCACTGGGTCTTCCATTAATGATAAAGGTTTAAGTTTAAAGTAAAACAGTTTAACAGTTGGCAAGAACAAAAAGCATGAAAAGGGAATATCGATTAATTTTAGAAATTTACATCATTTAGATTAATTTACCTTTCTTTCAATTAACTTTTTTGCTAGACTTTTGTTCTTGAAGATGGAGATTGTTTTGTTTTTCAGCGTGAAGTGGCAAAATAATCTGAAATTGACAGTGATGTCTGTCATTAATTGAAGGAAAAGCTATGGGAGACCGATCAGCTCCATAAAAACTCCAACAAAAGCACTTCCTGAAACATTCCTTCGCCATTTTAACTACTAAATATAACTTTTAAAATCACAACAGCCGTCCACATGTTCAACAAATCCATTAATGGCAGACGTAAAGATTTGATTGACAGCACGCGCATGGCTCGCGACTGGACGTCACAGTTCTGAAATTGACATATATTGACACCAATATGAAGCAGACAGTTCCACATCGGTCTTGTGTTCTGTTTTATTGTTGTTTAATGAAGAGCTAGTACTTGAAACTGACATGCAAGCTTATGGGATGTAGTAGGGTTCTAACTTCTAACAGCAAGAGGTGGTTTAATCTGTTCTAACAATAGGATTATTAGGAAAGTGACAACTACTATAATTAAACTACATGATGTTTTATTTATTTTTTTTTAAATTTTAATTGTTAATTCAGTTCCAAGGGAAAATTATTCATTCGAAATATTAATGCGCTGAACGCTTAGTTCATCAAAAAACATACAAAACAAAAATCACAAACAATACCCCCCCCCCCCAACCCCCCCCCCCCCCCCAAAAAAAAATAAACCCATCGCATATGAAAATTAATTCGGTGTTAATATAGATAGCATGATTATCGATGAATGATTTTACCGAGTCAACGGCGTTCATGGTAGCTTGCGAAATCCGCCTTAGAGCTGCTTCGCGGAATACACCCGCAGCGTCACGATGAACACCCGTTGTTATTGTAAACAACCGGAAACTGGAACAGGACACAAGGCATCACGTGTTTGGAAAGTTCTATCATAAGGTCTGTCATTGAGTCAACTGGCGTGATTTCGATTCCCCGGTTGTACGTGACATGGAGTTGGGTCGCCTGTCCAACCTCGTGGGTTTTCTTCGGGTCCTCCCACTGTTAAAGGACCCCTACGCGCAAGCGAATTATTGAAATAAAACTGAACCATGTGTTAGTCCTGAAATGACCTAGTTTGCGTCGAGTGGACTATACCACCCACCACCCCCTCCCATACCAGACATCATGGAGTATGACCGTCTTCAGTAGCCCAGTTGGAACAGAAAAGTAGGCTTTATCGAGTCGAAAGAGTCAGTAACAAACATTAATTGCACTCCAAAACTTTGTTTCCTGTGAGAGATAACCTCTCAATACAGATAAGAAGTCTTTTGCGCAACCCCACCTGAAATCATATAATGAATCTAGGCATATACAACTTGGCTTGTTTTTATATTCTATTATTTATGCTTTTTACATTGTATAATATTCTCGAAATAAATACTGTTTAAAGGAGCTAAATCGCTAATATTTTGGACCTAGAAATTGGCACAAATGTGTCGCAACACATATAATAATGTAATATGAAGTTATATAAAATGTTTTACATTCAATCGTGTTCGTTTTACTGTGAATTGTCATCAGTTGTGTTCGGCGAAATACGCCAGAAGTCTCAACCGCAAGTCAGTTTCTAGCGTCTGGTTATTCCAGTCAACACCGATATTATTTATTGCGCATGCTCTCCAAATAAGAATATGATATCACCGTTTGACATGACTTGTGGAATATGTCTAGCCTCATTTTTGAGCACCTTGTTACGAATGGCGCTGAACGCATTATGGTACACGATTCGTGTGCCAATGGTAAAATGTTTATTTTGTCTTAAATATTGGATATCAGAAGCCCATCTTTTCCAGGTAAGATCACAACACCAATGCTGATTTAAATTGCAAAAAAATTCGTGTTTTCAATGTCGCAGATTTTGGATGATACTGAGTTACGGACTTGGCTACTTTAAACCATACAACTAGACTATTTCATTCTATTTCGTGTGTATAAAAGAAGAAACACGGTATTTAGAATTGGGTACGATTATGTCCTTCATCTGAAAAGGTTTGTCATTTAGTCCGGTGGCTTTGTTTCGATCCAAGCCTCTAAATAACAAGGAACTGGATCACTTGTCTAGCTGTGTGGCTTTTCTGGTAGGTTCTTCTCCTGCTATAATTGATCCCTATGTGAAAGTGAATAATTAAAATAAAGATGTACCATATAATTATTACACTAATAACCTAGATTGGACATTAGGCCCCATTTCTCTGTATCCCTTCTCAAAAATGTTATCCACCAATCAGGAGCCATTCACTTAATTTGAGAGAGAGAGAGAGAGAGAAATGGGATTTAACGTCCACTCGACACAAACTAGGTCATTTCGGGACAAACACATGGTTCAAATTTATTTCAATAATTCGCTTGCGCGTAGGGGTCTTTAGCAGTGGGAGGAAACCGAAGGACCCGGAGAAAACCCACGAGGTTGGACAGGCGAACCTACTCCTTGTCACGTACAACCGGGGATTCGAAACTGACTCAATGACAGACCGTATGATACAGCGCGCGCGTGCTAACCATTCGGCCATCCAACCCCCTACTTGATTTGATATTTATTGTTTATTTATTGCTTTATCTGTATAGTTTGTCTTGTCCGCGGATTTGTCTTATCGATACAGTGCACAACAATGACTATATACTTTGTTTACGTGGCATTTAGTAACTGGATGAGAATAACACATGACACAATTATATGGAATACAAGTCACTTGAAGGGTTTATTTCAGCGAAGTTTCGACGAGGGTTCTCTCGTCTTTATCAAGCAAAGAATGATTATATACGTTTAAAAATGTTTTATTACAATATAGCAAATTCAAAACAATTATTTTCTCATTCAGTAAATATTTTTCAAATTCAAAAATATATAACACATAGTTACACCAGTCGTTTACATTCACACCATTCATAGAACAGAAAGAATTTATAAAGGAAATCAAGGTAGATTACGTAATTAATCAAGGCTGATTAAGTAGTTAATCCAGGCAGATTAAGTAGTTAATCATGGCGGATTAAGTAGTTAATCAAGGCGGATTAAGTAGTTAATCAAGGCAGATTAAGTAGTTAATCAATTAAGGTAGGATTGATCACATAATTACCAAAGCAACCGTACCTATTATCAACAATAATCGAGATGAGCAATAATTATACACTCAGTATAGTCAATATATTGAATATCATTCACATCTTGATGTTCGATTTGGCATATTCCTGATCGGACATTTCGAAAATCGCGTAGGACATGTCCGGAATATACGGGTGAAGTACCATCCCTGGTTCGGACGCTAGCGTTGAAATTTTGTTGTGGTCCCTAAATCAAAGCAATACATTATATTTATTACTAGTAATTAATACATTTAAATGAAATAAAACTTGAACATGATATATAATTTACTCTCTTGCTTTAATACAATAAATAATAGTATTTATAATGATGATAGATCAAAATTTATTCTTTAAATAACAACAAGCCAACAGTGAGGCTGATGTCCCCCGCTGAAATCCCGAAATAAATAGATGACATATATTAATTAATTGCATGTTTATCTTTTTCAAAAGTATCCAGCAATCAAACTGATTATTAAGTATACATTAAGTTTCATCACTCTCTATCAGATAGAATCAAAATAAACAAGGCATTGACCTAATAAACACATACACCAAGTTTGAACATTCTAGCTCAATTAAAAGTTATCGTGTCCCAAAGCATCAACCAATCAAATTGCTTATCTCTGCTTACCCTAAGCGGAAAATGCTCATCTTCAAACTCCATCAAGGCATTGACCTAATCAACACATACACCAAGTTTGAACATTCTAGCCCAATTAGGAAGAGAGTTATCGTGTCCCAAAGCATCAACCAATCAAATTGCTTATCTCTGCTTACCCTAAGCGGAAAATGCTCATCTTCGAACTCCATCAAGGCATTGACCTAATAAACACATACACCAAGTTTGAACATTCTAGCTCAATTAGGAAGAGAGTTATTGTGTCCCAAAAAGTGTGACGGACAGACAGACGGACAGACAGACGGACAGACGGACGAACCCATTTTAATAGTCCCCTGCTTTCTTCGAAAGGCGGGGGACAATAAAACTAAAATACAATATGCTATAAATACAATTTCATGAAACCTAGAAACAACTATACAATATATCAGAATTAAATTAATCCCATTAACAACATAAATTATAATTCAGGTATGAGCAATAATTAAACCAATTTGTATTTGGTTTCGTTTTTTATACTTTCCAGGCAACCCTACATGAAGATCTGACCGGTTGTACTGGAAGGTCGCGTCAGAGGTCATACGAGCAGCTTTTGACCCTATGACGTCAGAAATTTGGTTAACCAACGAGGTTGATGTTTTTAGTGGGTTACCCACAGGTTTAGGAGAAGCAAAGACCAGTGATTTGGAATCTCAGCCCCCTTTGAATATTTCTGGTATGCACTTAGATAATTTGCTGCCCCGTGAAAAGTGTCGGTCCTGGGTATATGCGCCCCTCAGCCTCTCCCTATGTGAGGACCCTGAGTGAGATCTCAACGCCTCTCAGCCTGCCCCTATGTGAGGGCCCTGAGTGAGATCTAAGAACTATCAAACCGTAACCTGAAAACCATCTTTCGACCCATTAATAGTTTTAATACAACAAACATCACGTTCTAATGTCTGCCCATCATACAAACTATCTCTCACATCAGACCGTAAATTCATATTCTGAAATAAATTATTATCTTTCTCGACATTCTGTGATATCTTGATGTTGAAAGGAGCTGTAGGTTCGTGGTTATTAAACGTAAAACTAAATTCTCTACCAATTTTCTGTCGGAATAAGGATGATATATTTAATATATTATGAGGAAGTAGAGGTCCACTGATTTCTAAGATATGGGATCTATGAGAATTGCCTTGACTATCTGTCTGCTTGGCATGTGAATGTTTAACCTGGAAAACAGAAAGAGAAAAAAACCTAGTAATTATTATCTATTATTATGGTGTATTTATATAGCACACCTTTCACCTAAGTGTCAAGATGCTCTTTACAAACTTAAAGATTAGATAAAGAGCTAGCAGTTCACACTATAATAGTTAAAAAATAGATAATGTATAGGGGATTTGCTGAAAATGAAGTGAAATGGGGTTTAACCTCCTACTCCTAAACTGGGCTAATAAAGACGGACATACAGCATGCAGTGCGCTATGAGGAAAATTTTGCCCATGCAGCAGCACTATGGCCTACTCTTATATCGAATTCCAACTGCCAAGGGATCTTTTACGTGCACACCAATGTATACACAGGACCTTAGTTTTCGTCCCATCTGAACGACTAGACAGCTGTCCTTGTCAGGCACATGTTAAACCATTCAAGACCCCTTCCCACACACCCACACACATTTGAAAGGGCAGTTTATACATACCTTGTTAGATTTTAATGTAGCACCAGTAAAAGGACATGGTGATAATATAGTAGGAGGGATACCAGCCTGTTCACCACTATTAGCTATACAAGTTCGACAGTTTAATAGAAAATTAAATAAAGCTTGAACTTCACCACCTTCAACATATATCATTGATTCTGGTCTATTATCAACCCGTTTATATCCTTCTTTCTGACTGATATATAATTAAGGTCAGTATTCACCACAGTGTTGTTTAATGGCATGTCAGTTCTATAGCCCGGTTGGAGCTGACGTGCCATTAAACAACATTTCATTTCATTTCACATCAATATATTTTAATTTATTTCACAAAACCCTAGTGAATATAGTGTAAAATTAAGTTTTTCACAAAAATAGATATTGTTTTTTGTAAGTGCAATTTTTTGTAGATAATAATAAAATAAAAAGTTATTTGGGGGACAATTGTTCGGCTCCCAATATACACAATAAACTATAATAAATACTTCTGGAAGAACAATTACTGATTTAATTAGGTGACGTTTCGAAGAGTATTCTCAGTCCATTACCCTGATCACTCGGACCACTGTGGCCCCCATCTATCAAATAGATCATGTACATATATTTTAAAGAGAGAGAGAAATGGAGTTTCACATCCACTCGTACACAAATTAGGTCAATTCGGGATTAACACATGGTTCATTTTATTTCAATAATTCGCTTTTGAATAGTGTTTAGTCGTGGGATGAAATCGGAGGAGACCCGGAGAAAACCCACAGATTAGGACAGTCGATATATATTTCAAAGGATACATTTTAACTTTATTAGGATCTAATGATGGGAACTGTTTCTTGTCTAATCCTAGACTCTCCAACCATACAGATGCTCCTTCATCAGTATCTAGGGCATCTTCATCATCTATTGATCCACATGGTTTAGTATTTTCTGTATTGGTAGTTTCTAACTCTGTATCTTCATCTTCTAAACTAGATTTCTTTTTTTCAAGTAATGGCATCTTAAATTCAATACCTACAACATAAATATAACTTTATAGAAAACATTTAACTTATTCACATACAGCTATTTGTTGCTGTCCTACATTTTAAAAGAAAGAGAGAGAGAGAGAGGGAGAGAGAGAGAGAGAGAGATGGTTTAAGGCCCACTGGACACAAAGTAGGTCATTTCTGGACTAACATATGGTTCAATTTTATTTCAATAATTCGCTTGTTCGTAGGGGTCTTTAGCAGTGTGTGTGTGTGTGTGTGTGTGGGGTTGAATGGCCGAATGGTTAGCACGCGCACGCTGTATCATACGGTCTGTCATTCAGTCAACTGCCGGGGTTTCGATTCCCTGGTTGTACGTGACAAGGAGTAGGGTCGCCTGTCCAACCTCGTGGGTTTTCTCTGGGTCCTCCGGTTTCCTCCCACTGCTAAAGACCCCTACACGCAAGCAAATTATTGAAATAAAATTAAACCATATGTTAGTCCCGAAATGACCTAGTTTGTGTCGAGTGGACGTTAAACCCCATTTCTCTCTCTCTCTCTTTAGCAGACAATGCTGAATGTTGCAAAATTTTAATTTACCACATCTGCAGAAATACTGAATGGAATTGAACCATTTTTGGACCAATAAGTGGCTTTAATTTTTGGTCAACATAAACAGGCTATGAGTACTATGACTTAAAACAGCACTTGATTTCCTAAATTCAACCCATTTGTATTATTGAAAAATGTTTTAATTACTTTACTGAATTGTATTTTAAATATTTCATTTATAAAATATTCTTAGTGTAAGCATTCAGGCAGATTGTTATTGATAAACATACATTATGCAAGAGCTAAATCTGCCTATTGTAGGTCTTTCAGTAGGCCTGAAATGTTTTCTGAATTATTAATTAGACATTAACTAACTTATCCAGACCATAATCAACCCTCGATGGCATCAGATTTCTCCGATATTAAATAGATTCGAACAGTTCAGCCATATTTTGATTTAAGCTAAAAATAGAGGAGCGACACTTAGCTTCGAACAGCCAATATGGTGGTTGAAATTTTTGCACACGTCTTGTCAAACCTTCAAAGGCTAATATCTTCGCTCATAATAGAGTAATTTGAATGAAATTTTCAAATTATTCATTTAACATTATCTATTTTCGAACTATTATAGCAAGAATGGCTAGTTCTTTATCTAAATCTTACATAATGTATCTTTAAATAATATTTTTTTTAATATTACCTTCTGTTTTAAGAGCTTCTCTGAACCCTCTGGTTGTTGGTGTTAATAAAGCTGATATAGAATTAATACCGGCCACACCCACACCACGGAATAACGCTGTAAACTGATGTGTACACATATAGAAATATGGTGAATAGTTTGATCGTAGTTGATGGAAAGCTGATGTAAAACTATCAGACCAATCTGTATATAAACACTTCTTTATATCGTCACTATTACCTATTATATTAGCTCGACTGAAAAACATATAAATTAAACAAATCTTTAAAAAAAAGAGTGATGGATTATACAAATCTAAAAGTGACATCTATTTGCCTGTTCCTGAAAGATACTTGTCAAGATTGGTCACATTATTTCTGTTACGTCTTTTTTGTATTCCTGATTGTTTTCAAATTTGAGTGAAGTCTGTGTCACTACAGGCCCGGGACTGTGGACGCTTACGGCTGGCCCCCGGATCCATTCACATGATTTGCTATTTGTTTATTTGGTGCAATGTCTATTTTCTGTCTTGTCCGCAGGTTTATCTTGTAGATTTTTGTTTTGCATGTGGTGCGGTCCTCCTGCACTTAATATTAGCATGGAATCCAAATGGCAATTTAAAGTTGAAACGACAGAACCTAACAACAGTTTAAAACACTATGTCCACCGGTCTTGATAAATTCTAGCCGGGTACATACATCTTCTCCCCTGTTTTTGTACTTTTCGAGTTTATATGTACATAAGTCTCATGTGTAACGTTTTGCAAAGCACACTTGAGACTTATGTACATATAAATCTAAAGTTTCACTATTAAACTTAGTCGACAAAGTTCATCGGAGTTTTCCGGCATGGTTTCCCCTTTTCGGCAGTGGAGGACGGAGGGATTGACAAGGACAGCTGTCTAGCCGTACGAATGGCACGAAAAAATGAGGTCCCATGTACACATAAGCGTGCACGTAAAAATATACCTTGGCAGATGGATATAAAAATAAGCCATAGTGCCGCTGTTAGGGCAAAATTTCTCTCACAGCCCACTGTATGACATATGCCTGTCTTCATTTGCCCAGTTGGAGCAGAATAGAAGTATTTTAAACCCCATTTCATTTACTATTAAACTTATAATGTATAACTATATACTTGGTATGCATTGTGAAGCATGTATATATAAACACCAGAATGAAAACACAAATAAAATATTATATTCCATGTGTACCTTATTTTATTTTCTGATACTATTCGAGGAAAAAGTTTTGTCCAGGGAAGGTTTGGATGCTGCCAGTAGAGAGAACATCTGTGAAATGATGATTCTGAATTATCCTGTGACCACTGAAAAAATATCAAAACATTCACAATTATATACATGTACATATGAAAAGAACAATCCCTCTGCTGCCTGCCATTTTGTCTGGCAAAGATTTGTTTTGTTTTCAGTGTTTTTACCGAAATTTATATGCACGCTCCGTACAAAGGTGAAGAATGTCAGGTAAAACTTCAATAGTTCCTGATATTTTGTCAGGTAGAGTGATATTTGGTCAGGTAGGGTGACATTTTGTCAGGTAGGCTCTACATCTCAATTAAATTTTCTTTTACGGCCTGTGATGCATATAACAGCAACTGACCATAAATTCAAAATTGAATGTCAATAAAAATGTCAGGAACAACATCTGTCAAGGTAGGGACACATTTTGTCAGGCAGGCCTGTGCTATCCAGTTGGATAACTGCAACTGACCATGAATCAACTGACCATAAATCCAAAATTATCTGTCCCTAATGACGAAATACCATAATTTGTCCATATACAAAACCCACCTGTTCTTTACACCCCACAAAATGTTGAAGACCACCAGCTTGATCTGTAGATTTCATATGAACACACCATGCTAGAGATTCTTCACTAGTTACCCGTAGTTTACCTTTTAAACTCCAATCAACAGGTAATAAATCTAATCTTTCTTTTATAGTACAACTCTCTTTACTAATCTGTGGTAAATCTTCTAACTGAAATTATAGAACCAATACTAAAAATAAGAAAAACAACACCCCACTTGAGTACAGCTCTCTGTATTTATCTGTGGTCAATTTTGTAACTGAAATTATGAAACAAAATTAAAAATGTGTGAAAAAAAAAATTTGAAATATTTAGCATCATTCTTACTTATTCATTAATAAAACCACTTATTTCTGTATTAGCGCCTACAAGGACAGCTGCATAGTTATTGGGATAGGTCGAAAAACTGAGGTCCCATGTATACATTGTGCACGTAAAAGATCCCTTTGCAGTTGGAATTTGATTTAAGAGTAGGCTTTAGCGCCGCTGTCCAGGTAAAATTTCCCTCATAGCACACTACATTAAGCCAGTTGCAGCAGAAAGGTACATGTAGGACCTTAAACCCTATTTTATTTCATGACATCATCCCTGCATAAGAAGCACTACAGGTATCTGATCATGAACTTTGGCTTTCCTTTGAAGGCAAATTTAGCCCCAGATAATAGGTTCATAAACATATATTTCCACCATTACTAAACTGTGATTTAGTGACTCTGCAAAACTCAATGGAAATTTACAACACAAAATTTTTGAAATTTCATAGGGATCTCTTATTTTTCCACAATAAGTAAATTCATCTGGTTCTAAAACTAACACAAGGAGATAACATTACACATATTCAAGCCGATTTAATTACATTTCTAGCGGGTTAGAAGAAAGTTTTTCAACTCACCAGCTGTATTATGCAAGGGAGGCAACTCCAATATGTCTTCAATTTGTAAAATGAAATGAAATAGGTTTTACCGTAAGTCCTATTGTTCTGCTAATGAAGACATACAGTGTGCTATGAGGAAAAAATTTTGCCCGGACAGCCGTGCTTTTGGCCTACTCTTATATCGAATTCCAACTGCCTAGGGATCTCAATGTTTGTTTTCCCATCCGAACAACTAAACATTGTCCCTTGCCAGGTACCTCAGTCCTGCACCACTTACAAGGCAGCACCACGCCGGAAAATCACAATGAACTTTCTCTGCCAATGCAGGGACCGAACACGAGACCTACAGGTTAGCGAGCCAACGTCTTACCCACTAAGCCACCTTGGCTTCCTTTCAATTTGTAGGTGATACACACAGCCTGCAAGGTCAAAGAAAAGATCATATCATGCAGGCTAAACATTCTAACATTGAGTCAAATGCTTACTTTTTCATGGGTGCTTTTATCATCTGGAGTTTGAATGCAATTAGAAAATCTTTCCTGGAATTGTCTACCCTTGTTTTGAAAAACCGACACAGATCTTGACAGAATAGGTGTTGTATTTGAATCCTCTTTATCCTAAAATAAAAACAGGTACATTAAATTAAAAGCAATACACTTTCAATAAATAACGGTAAGTTGGCGTTTTTATTTGTCAATTGTTCAAAATTCAACTGAAGCATGTCATAATACGATACCCACAATAACACATCAGAGCATCTATTCGATATAATGAGTGCAGGGGGACCACACCACTCTTACCCAGAACGGAAAAAGACAAACCAGTGGACAAGACACATTAATGTACCATATACTTATACAGTGCCGCTCTTGGCAAACCATCAAAACCAATACCACTCGAGCAAGCCATAAAAAACGGCGCCGCTCTTAGATTCTTATATGAGTACTGATATAAGTACCATGATCATACGCTGAAATCTATCGATTCAGTTAAGAGAAGCAGGAGTGTTGACCTATTTTGTTCCCCTCCAATCAATTTGCATCAAATTTCGAAAGCTGGAAGTGTTCTGACGCAATAGCCAAGTAACGGTAAGAGATCGGTTAACGTGCAAACGATTAAAATTGCAGTACATGTACTTAAGGAGCACTACAAAAAGCTTATTATTATGTCTAAATAAGTTCCCCGCCCCCTGTCCCTCAGCACAGACCGGCACAGCTGCAATCCCTTACCCCCAAGTATCTGCTTCTGAACACAACAGAATTATCTAGCATATTACTTTAATTGCAGAATATACATTACCTCTTCCTCAATATCCAGAGTTCTGAATAGTTTAGCTGTCGATCCTGTACCAACAACAATTGGGTTTGGCTGGGAATACGATCGAATCTCTTCTTCATTATCGTTGGTATGTTTATCAGGCTGTGTACTAATCAATGAATCAAATACACTGTTTTCTACCAGACCGGTTTCAGAGTTAATAACAGCCCTCCTTTTGTTGACACTGTTGCAACTGAAAGGGTTGGCCCTTTTTGTGCTGATACCTTTGTTTACGATATGTGAAACCGTGCCAGTTTTAGGAGGATATTCTCCTGAAATACTCTTCGATTTCTTCTTCAATTTTCGTCTTTTCATTACATCCGCTGGATTACACCATTTGGAAGGTTCACACGACATTATATAAGATTTATTTCATGGAAAACTGTACAAAAAGCGATGAAAATTAACTAAATAATGAAATTTATTTTAGTCGTAATTCCCGCTTGAGGTCATCCGGATGTAGAAATATTTTGAGACGTTCGACTGGATGTAAAAGCCTTCGCTTTTGTTGATCTGCTAATGGCGTAAATTGTTAAAACTGGTTTCCTAAAATGCATTTTATTTCGTCTTTGTCATAAAATAAGTTCTATCTGGATATTTTTTTAAGTATAACTGTTTTAAAAGGAAAAGTTATTTTTATGAATACCCCCTCTGTTTAGTTTTCTTTCGTTTCATCTAGAATTTAGATCTAAAATTTGTATACATGGCCGAGATATTGACCTGTTTGCTCTTTGACCCAAGACCTGTCGGACCAGTTCAGTTTGTAATATAAGCGAATTATTACAGTAGAAATCTCACTTTTTGCAGAATCATCCAACATGGGGTTTGAAGTTCCAGCAGATTATGGTTATGTTGTTTTAGTTTTACCCGCTACATGGGTTGTCGTCAACTTTTTAGCAGTAAATGTGATGAAAGCCAGAAAAAAGTATGGAGTGGAGGTAAACAATTGAATAAAAGAATGTCAAATTGATTGACACTCTATGGCCTAATTCATAATCAATGGGAGATTCTAAATGTAGACCGGTTTGGGAGGTTCGAGAATTTCCAGAGTCCACAAAGGTCGCTTTATTTAAATGAGTAGCCTATTTTTGGAAATACTATTAACCCTAACCCTTTTAAGAGGGGAAAAAGGTAATTTGGATCCAGTTCGATCAGTCTTCTAAATAGGGTTTAGGCCTAGGGCCCAGAGAAATATCACGAGGTTGGACCGGCAATCCTATACCATGCCAGGTGCAAGCAGGGAATCGAAACCCGACCACTTGACTCAATGACAGACCTGATGATCTAGTGCCTTAAATCACCAAACCTGTTACAATTAAGTAATTGTGTGTGGTGCAGTCCCCCTGCACTGACTACCGGTATTATGTTGTATTTTATTTTGTTTTGCAGTATCCAAATCTGTACTCAAATAACCATAACTTCAATTGTTATCAACGAGCTCATCAGAACACGTAAGTAAATACAAAAAGATAAAGAAACTTGATCATTTTCCAGGCTCTATCACCTGGTCTTGGTGTGATTTTCTCTTGAAAAATTCCACCTGAAATATCAGTATTTTTTTCAAGAACTTTAATCAGTAAATGAAATGAAATGGGGTTTAACGTCCTACTGATCTGCTCCAACTTGGCTTATGGAGACGGTCATACGCCATACAGTGTGCTATGAGGGAAATTTTGCTCGGACAGCAGCACTATGGCCTACTCTTAATCGAATTCCAAATGCCAAGGGATATTTTATGTGCACGTCAATGTATACACGGCACCTCAGGTTTTTTTTGTCCCATCCTAATGACTAGATAACTGTCTTTGTCAGGCACTCCGTCCTGCACCACTGACAAAGGGAATTCACGTTGGAAAATCCTGATGAACTTTCTCGGCCAATGCAGGAATCGAACATGCAAGCTCCAGACTACCAACTTAGCCACCATGGCTTCAACTCTACTCAGTAATTAAGCTAGAAATGATAGGAAATAGATGATATAAACCCCACGCAAAAAGATTTTCCAGCCAACCATATATTTTGTGGGCCAAATAACCATAAACTGTAAACACAGGGATTTTTTTGTCCTGGCCTAATTTAGTAAACAAGAAAGAAAATATTAATTCTTCACATTTTTATGTGTGTTTAATTATGCTGTTTTAAAAAAAAACTATAAAAGATCTTATTTTATTCTTGACCCAGCTTTATTATTTTTTTTGTTTAGATTGGAGAATCTCCCATTCTTTCTCATATTTTTGATGATGGGTGGACTCCAGTTTCCTGTAAGTATAACTAAATCTGTTGTTTTTTTTATATAATGTAGACTTTGGACTACACAATGAATATCTTCCTTTTTTATTGGTCTTTAATGATCAATGATCTAAAATATTTAAAGTAGCTAAGTCTCTAACTCAATATCATCTAAAGTCTTCGAGAGTGAAAACACAAATTATTTGTCGGTTTAAATCAACATTGATGTTGTGATCTTACCGGGAAAAGATGGCCTTCTGATATCCAATATTTAAGACAAAATAAACATTTTACAATTGGTACACGAATTCTGTACCATGATGTATTTCAGCGCTATTTGTAATAAGGGACTCGAAAAACGAGGCTAGGCATATTCCACAAGTCATGTCAAACGGTGACGCTATATTCTTATCTGGAGAGCATGCCCAATAAATACTATCGGCGTAGACTGGAATAACCAGACGCTAGAGATTGAAATTCGATTGATAATACTGGCGTATTTCGCCGAACCTAACTGATTAGAAATTACAGTAAAAACAGAAACGATTAAATATAAATCAATTTATATACATTCATATTACATTATTGTATGCGTTGCGACCCATTTGTGTCAATTTCTAGGTCCCAAATATTAGCGACTTAGCTCCTTTAAATAAGAAAAAGTGGCAGGAACGTATGGATCTGTTGTGTTTGAGCATATATTGGGTAGGGCCAGTAGACCCTAAAAAATACCCTTAAGAGTACACAACTGAACTTAAAAATTTTATCTTAGTCTCTGATCGTTATTTGAGGGATATTTAATAGCTTGCTAAGAACAATAAACGGAAAGTTGAATCTCTGAAAGGAATATCAATCCAAGAAGTGTTCAATTCTGTTAAAGCCTCCTTGCGTCATTTTAACCCAATATCAAACCCCTACAAGCTACAATATTGTGAAAGATATATATCTAATAGGAATATTGGACAGAAAAATGATGCAATTCCATTCAGTGTTTACAAAAACATGTTGAATTTAAAATTACATCGATCTAGGCTGCTTTGCTGAGTTGGTTTATTGATTTTTTTTTTTTTAATTAAATGTTAAATAATCAATCTTAGTACCATTTAGCTTGGATTGATATTATCCATGGTTTTAAGATATAAAGAGTAACTATATGGCCAGTAGAATTGTATAAAGTGTAATATAATTGTCATTATTTACAGAGAATAAGTGCTGTATGTGGCATACTGTATCTGGCCAGTAGAATTGTTTATGCTTATGGGTATTACACTGGAGGTATGTATTCTTTCTTATGCTAGGCTCCCACTATCTCGATTCATGCTATGATTGAAATTGTGGTTTTTATCGTAGAGTAATCGTGGTGGTCCCATCAGGTATTATCATATATTGAGGCCAGTCATAGTTATCGTGTTGATCGTATTGAAACGTATCCGAATGTATCTACACGTAGCAGATCGTGGACTCAATAGGGACAATCCTATCGAAACACATCGCACGATAGTGGGTACCTGGCATTTGGAACAGTCGCAATATTTCAACACTTGTATCCAAACAAATATCCCACATCTATATATATATCATTATATCTTGACCCACCCATCTACCTATCCAACATTTATGATTCAACTTTTAATTATCATGTTCTATCTGCGGTATCGTTCAACCTACCCAGTTCCGCAGGTTATTCCTGCAAATGTTGAAATTTTGCGATGATCACTTAATATAATTTATAATATACTATTAGAAAAAGTACCTGTAGTTTTGTCATGAGAAGAGGTTTAGAGATAGTTATTTTTTCTCTGAATCACACTGGCATTATTTGTCTTTTAAAGCTGTACCACTAATTCACTGCTATCCAGGGTCTTCACCATTACAAACATGATTTATTGTTCCATTCCAATAAATAGTGATGTTATTATCTTACTGTGAAAATATGGACTGTGGATATCCAATATATAAGACACGGTGAACAATTTTGAATTTAAAACTCTATGCTCTCATGCGCATTTGTAATAATGAGTCACCTTGATGAATGAGGCTGCTAAACCTCAGTGCGTAAGTGATATGCTAAACCTTAACTTCAATGTAGACTGGACTAACGATAATAAACAATCTATGCAACATTTTGTCAAAACTTCAAACATTCATAATTTCACACAGAATAAAATAATTTGGCTGAAATTTTAAAAATATTCATTATCTATTTTTGAACTACATGTACATGTATGATATAGCAAGAACGACCAGCTCTTTATAAAGTTCATCCAGATTTTCTGGCGTGGTTCCCACTTGTCAGTGATGCAGGACAAAAAACCAAGATCCTGTGTACATATTGGCGTGTACGTAAAAGATCCCTTGACAGTTCGAATTCGATATACGAGTAGGCCGTAGTGCCGCTGTCCGGCAAAATTTCCCTCATAGCACACTGTATGAGGTATGCCCATCTTCATTAGCCCAGTTTGGAGCAGAACAGTAGGACGTTAAACCCCATTTCATTTCATTTCACATTTCTTTACATAAAGCATCTTTAAATATGTGTATATTTATTCTTTCAGATCCAGCCAAGAGGAACAGAGGTGCATTTGGTTATATTGGCCTCTTAGGACTGCTCATTAGTACTGTGGCCTTTGGTCTGAATTTGTTAGGATGGATTTAATATTTTTCATATATATTGATATTTTCACAGGCATTAACATGATGTATTTGTAACCATTTATATTTTATTACGTTAATATTTTCTAACAAAATTTTATTCAAGTCACTAATAACTAAACAACTTTAATTTGAATGAAGGTGGCCTATAATAAGTTGATTGTTTTGGGTATTATATTATTTTTAAGGTATATGTGTAGAATGTTCGTTCGTTGTTTCTAGAGTTTTACGTCCACTTCCACCTGAGGTGATATCGTAGACAAGAAATATTGTCTAACTTACCCTTATATAGTCCTATACACTATGGGTGAGAAAGCAGGAGTAGGTCTAACACATGTGCTTTAGATCATAAGGTCTGTCATTGAGTCAAGTGGCGTGGTTTCGACCCCAAGCTTGTACATGACTGCAAAAGACACCTAGGTGCAAGCCAATTATTGATATAAAATTGTATAATATGTTAGTCCCAAAATGACCCGATTTGTGTCTCGTTAAATCATGAGCTTGATTCTCTTTCTCTGTCTTGTTCTGTGATAAGCCTTGCCATGGTTACAAAGAAAGATAAAACGAACCAAGAAAAAGAACAACCAATCAACTGATAGAGACCAGTGTAACCATGGTTACAAATCATAAATTATATACTATCATCATCTGATTAAAAATGTATTTATACTCATTTCTTATTCCATATAATAAAAGTCGCCCATTAGAATGTATTTGTTGATTTTTAAAAGTATTGTTAGTGATCGTTTTCTTTCATTGAAGTAGTAGGGGTGATGTGGTGTTGATTCCCCAGTTATACCTCATGGGTTTTCTCTGGGTCCTCCGGTACCTCCCACTGCTAAAGACCCCCTATGTGCAAGTGAATTATTGAAATAAAATTGAACCATGTTAGTCCCGAAATAACCTAGTTTGTGTTGTGTGGACGTTAAACCCTCTCTCTTTCATTGAAGTATAGGTTGTTTTCTATATACATTGCTCAAGTTTTGTTTTTATTGTTAAAATGGTAGCTGTATATTACAATTGTTAGTTTTATTTTGTTTTCTGCTAAAAATGATAGCTATATCGGGTGGCCCAGAAATAAAATGTATACACTGTGGAAGAACTATAACAGATTTGTACATGTTAATTAATTAATGTGGGATAATTAAAACAAATTTTTACATGATTTGTGTTAACACTATTTCAAAGTGGACTTGAAATTTGGATATAGTATAATTATTAGTATAATTATTAGTTAATTAAGATTATGTTTTCTGATATTATTTGTAACTGTAAATTCTAACAAAAATTTTATATTATAATGCTTGTATTCTTGTATTTGTCTTTGTGGTGGTTATCACAGTTTAAAAAAATATATATCAACATTATAGTAAAACATGGAGGATGTCAAATCTAAAAACAGGAATATAGACTCAAAAGGTTATCAATTCAAAGAATTGAGTGAAAAGCAAATTTGAATGGAATGAAAGAAGGTGTTGTAAAACTGATGCACAGGCCCCTAAGAGAACGAGTGGCATGGCCATTAGCCATGCACAACAGGTGCGAGCTTTCTAGGGGGCCTGGAGAAAGTTTTGAAGCTAGAGTCCCTGAAATGCCATTTCGGACGATATAGGGAAAGCGATGGACTAATTTATTACTAGTTTAATGACTGTTTACAGGAATTTTAGTTTGCTGCATTATGGGCAGTTTGATTTGATTTTCCACTTAACTTATCCATATAGGAACTCGATTGTCTTAAATAGTCAGTATTGTGACTGGTTGAAGGAATGTAGGGTGTTGAACTTTGAACCCACCCATAGTTATAGCCGTCGGTTTCTTACCTTTAGTTGGGGTCAGGGTGGATGAGACGCTGGCTCACTAGCCTGGTGGGTGGGTGTTTGATCCCTGCATTCGCCGAGAAAGTTCATCCAGATTTTCCGTGGTGGTTCCCCCTTGTCAGCGATGCAGGATGTCTAGTGGTCTGGATGGGACGAGTGCACATTTGCGTGCACGTTAAAGATCCCTTGACAGTTGGAATTCGATATGAGTAGGCCGTAGTGCCATTGTTCGGGCAAAATTTCTCTCATAGCACACTGTATGGCGTATGCCTGTCTTCATTAGCCCAATTCGGAGCAGAAAAGTAGGACGTTAAACCCCATTTCATTTCTTAACTTTAGTATTATATTATAGGTACTGATAGGCAATCGGTTTCACACAAGTTATTTCCCTTTGAATTTGATAATCAGCTTCAGTTATATAGACAATATACTTAGTCACACAGTTACTTTCCACGTGCTTTGGGTGAGATTTTGCTCGGACAGTGGCGTTGCTGCGTACTCGAATTACAACTAACTGGGCTTTCTTTCATTAGCCCAGTATAGGAGCAGAACAGTAGGACGTTAAACCCCATTTCATTTCATTTCATTTCTTTCTTAAAGTACAAGGACCTCGGAACGACTAGACACTGTTCCATGTCAGGAACAGGCCTGTAACTAGGGGGGGGGGGGGGGCAAAAAGTTTCGTCCCCCTGTGAAAAAAATGTCGACCATAAAAACAATAGATATACATTGTCCGTCAATTTTACAACACCCCTGAGAACACTTCCAGTCCCTCTCGTTGCTCTAGGCTAGTTACGTCCCTGGTCAGGAACCCCTTCCTACGCCACCGACAAGGGAAACAATGCTGGAAAGACAAAAACTTTCTCAGCCAACAGTCAATGTCTTACTCACTTCATAATCAGCTACGGTTGGCTCGCAATCTAATTTGAACACCCGGTGTAATTGTGTAGTCACGTCATATTGCAAATCGAAAATTATTTTTAATATACCCGTCTTCATAAGCCCTGTCGGAGCAGAACAGTAGGACATTAAACCCCGTTTCATTTCATTTCATATTTTTAATATACCTAATGATCGAGAACAAATCTCCAAACCCCACAATGCTTCTAAAACATAATCAATCTAATTAAAATACAGATCTATATCTTGTTTCGTTTTTTTTATACTTTCGATGGCCTACACCTTGTACTATAAGGTCATGTCAAGGGTCGTACGAGAGGCTTTTGACCCTATGACGTCAGACACTGATTAATCAATCAACGTTGGCGTTTCTAGTGGTTTACCCACAGTTCCGTGCATGACACGCCCAGAAGTCGCCGTAACAGACTGTTTCTTTGGCTTATCCCTCACTTCAACCAAAACGCCAATAATATAACAACTCTTTCCACATCCTAGTGTAGTAAAGACAAGTAAAACGAAATTTTGAACTATAAAAAACGAAACGAAATAGTATCTGTGTTTTAATCAGATTGTTGAAAAATTAAATGACACTGGAAGTAAAAACAATCAAATATTTATTTACTCTCTAAAACACAAGCCATCACTTTTACATTATACAAGCTTTCTAAATATTCAAAAAAAATATATCAAAACTTTGTTTACAATAATTATATACAGTTTAAATATTATACAAAAATACACAAAATATAATATTGGAAAAGCTCGGTTTATAATAAGATGAATTATGATTTTAAGCATTGTAATTATAATTAAAATTAAAAAAAATAGCAACCCGAAAACGCAATTTATATGGAAAACAATCGGCGGTATGTGGTCAATTTGATTAAAATATCAATATTTCATTTCGTTTTCTTTTTATACTTTCGATGGCCTAGTAAAGACAAGTATAACGAAATTTTGAACTATAAAAAACGAAACGAAATAGGGTCTGTTTTTTTTTAAAATCAGATTGGTAAGTGCTTGAAAACGACAAGAGAACACATGTCGAAACGTCGTGCTATATGTGTATAAACCTGTGATTGTTTTCCATAATTGGGTTTTTATTGAGTTCAACCGCTTATGGCACCCAGGGATTATAAATAAAATATATATCGTCAACCTAAAGCACAAAAATGTCACATTTTAAAAAGGACATAAACATTGTGTAATGAAATTTTATTTGAAGCCCTAATTGCATTTTTTCTCTGGTAAAATGAACGAATTAGGACGTCTTCTTGTTATATTTCACTTAAAATATAACTAACTCGTCCTCTGAAATTTGTCTACCGGATTTATTTTTAAAACTGACGTAGACAGTTCTTGTTGCTTTAGCTTGACGATAACCCAAATAAAAACGAAATCAATCTACAATATTATTGGGGCATTGGGTTGCCCGGGTACTAAATTCATGTAGGACCAACTGGACCACAAGTCGTATGATGGGGGAACAGGAGCGAACCAGGTACATATAATACACCACTTAAACAACGAGTACCCCGCACCCCCCCCCCCCCTACGTTTTACCGAGAAACATACCTAAGATGCAAAAAAAATGTAGAACCAGTTACATGCATCACGCGAACTTGAGATCATAAAACTCTCTCGTTTGTAAATTGTAGCCAGACTCTTGACTTGTGACTGCAAAGTGCTTCATAATTTATAACGTTTATCAAACTTTGACTATATATTACAATACAGTATACTAACATCTATTATATAATTAAATGCACCGACGCCCAGTACTTATAAACTGGGGCCTGTTTCACGAAATTTTAACTAAGATAAAATTCAAATTTTTGTAAATTGATTTTAGTGCTTAGCCAATCACAATTGAAGTATGTACTAAAATTTGGATTTTATCTTTAGTTAAGATTTCGAGAAACAGGGCCCAACTGACCACTACATATATTGGTTAGATGTGTTTAATTACAGAGTTTCTTCCAACCTATTCACATTTCATGGTTGTAATAAAGTTCAGATCATTTATTATGCTGACGTTCACTTATCTGTAGTGTTACAGTTATCAGTAATGGTGCTCGTGAACCAGGAATAATACATGGAAAAGAAGTCCTATGTAGCAGAAGGAAGATATTGTTGAAGCCAGAATTCTCCAGTTAAACCACCTGATTGACGTTGGAAAGGTACGTTAGCTTTTGTCTTTGTTACTTATCGATCATGGCTGAAAATCATGAAATTACAACTTTATTTCAGAATTTAACTGAGTAATTAATTGCAAATGGACTGTCTACAACTTTATTTCAGAATTTAACACAGGAATTAAGTGGGCTGTTTACTGGGCTGTCTATAACTTTATTTCAGAATTTAACAGAGGAATTAAATGGGCTGTCTACAACTTTAAAACATCATGGTATTTCAAATTCAGTTGATGCTTGTTCCGGGGAACCTACAAATTTCGAACCTTGGATAAAGAGTATTGGGAAATAACCATTTTTCTTTTTTTACTGACACTGATACAGATACGGTCAAAAATGTGGCTTATCAATCCAGTAAAGTTACCGTGGGTGACTTTTTGAATTGTTGACTAACAGAAAATCAAATCGTACATGTACTTGGGAAGCGGTAAAAAAGGAATTGGAAACGAGATATGATACTATTGCTGACCCACAGCATGCTTTAGTTATATTACAGCAAGCTAAAACATTTTGTTTTTCTGAAAAAGTTCAGGTATTTTTGGCTAAAAATGCATATAAGTCTGCTGAAATTGTTTTAGAACCCGTTCAGTGACAATCAGTAGGATATTTTATTACGGGATTGTAAGATGATCGTTTAAAAATGAAATTAATTCCAGACAATCCAAAAACTTTACAAGAAGCGACAGTTTCGGCTTTGTCAGAACAAAATTTGCAAGCCAGATTTGTGTTGAGATTAAATCAAAATCCAATCTCAAGTTTTACACATAATCATGAGCCACTGGAAGTTGACCATCTAAGGCCAATAAAAAAATAGACTGGACAACCTGCTCTAAATGACGTAAGGCTGGTTCTACGTCACTGCGCTATTCTGACTTCAATATGCAAGTCAGAAAAGGAGTGACGTAGGAGCGAGTCTGACGTATTAGAGCAGGTTATCCAGTCTAATGACAAAACTGATAGTGTTACAATATCTGTTACGGTACCATCGCCCAACAAGACCATTGGGTGTGTTCCCGTGATAATGAAGAAAATGGCATGTGGCTGTCAAAAGACACACGGTGAATTGGTGCCCCCCCCCCCCCAACAAAATGCAGAACTAAGACGTTTATCCGTGAAACCGTGGGTGGCAGGCGAGGTTTCCATAAGAATGACAAACAGAAAATGGATATTCTAGATAGTTTTTTTACGTGTTTTGTTGGATTTGTTTTTTATATCATTGATTGAACTTTGACCACAGGAAAAGAGTGACGGTTTTCAAATTATAATGTGTGTGACAAAGTAATCTATACATGAAGATGACGTTTAAACTCTCTCTAAACTTCTGTTTAAGACACGATCTTATTAAACATCTAATTTATTCAATATGTTCTTTACAAGCTACACGTGATCCATGTATAATTCGACAGAGAATGTATTAGTGGTCAGTGCATCATACCTTGAACTGACAATGACTTCCAAAGAAATATGCAGTGTTATAAATTAAGGGTAATGTAATTGTAATTGGTCTAATTGAGCAAGTACACTGGTCATTTATGGGATTTATTGTACCATATCTTAACGCACAGCAACGCCGAACCAGACAGGGGAATTCCAGTATGTAAAAAGATGTGGCTCTGAAGCGAAGTTTGCAGAAGTGTTTACGATCACCAAATTAGCCGTGCAAGAAACAGAACTATGAATAGAACATATATTTATGTAGTATTATTGACATTAAAACAGTGTTTGTTTTTTTTTAATGTGTTGTAACGTATAACCGAGTATACATATTGACAATGTCTCAGTGACCTTATATAAAACTGTAGCATGTATATCAGTGTAATGCTATTTTAGAATTAGGACTTGAAATTGTAATCGACATATTTAGAGCTTTAAAGTATTGATATTGTATTGTATTTAATGCATGTTAGATAACAACGTTAATTAAGGAGATGGTGTCGGCTGAGACCGAGGACGAAAATACGCTCCATGGAACAGATGATTCCACACCAGCACTAAGAAATAACCAAGTGACATTAACTTTGTCATGAGTTAGTCCAGAAGAATGCCATAATTTAATGGTATAACGAGAAGTGTAGACCGCATAAATGGTATCGTCCTACAAAAAGTCTAGGACTAATGTTGTTCCTGTAGTATAGTATAAATATATGATCGCGTGTGTTTTCATTATATCATGAGTACTCTTATTATATCGTGTGCACTGTTTTATTTCGTGTGTGATATACATTTATTAATGTGACATCAAGTACATGTAATACAGATGAAGCCAGTGTCCCACCTGTGGGAATTGTGTTCGTTATTTATTTTTAATAAATAACCTGTGAGTGGGAAACGAATGTGACAAAGTGATCTATACCTGAAGATGACGTTTAAACTCTCTATAACTTTTGTTAAGGCACGATTTTATTAAACATCTAATTTATTCAATATGTTCTTTACAAGCTACACGTGATCCGCGTATAACACTAGACAGAACTTAGTGGTCAGTGCATCATACCTTGACCTGACAATGACTTCCAAAGAAATATGCAGTGTAATTATAGACACCATAATTTGATAATAAACAATACCATATATGATTATCACTCCTGTCCATCTCCCCTAATTGTTAGACGCTATATAAGCAGGCGTTTACTGACAGCAAGTCAGACTTGGAATAGAGCCCCCCCCCCCACCGGTTTATGTCTATTTCATGTTCTCAATAAATGTTTTATACATTATGCTGATCTTCTGTTATCTGTAAGATAGTGTTACATCCTCTATGGAACCAAAAGCCTACACCACAGCTCCGACTGATGTCACTTCCATGCCATTTGATACACCGGCGACTATAGACAAAATGTGCCCTGTATTGGCAATGGAAGATCTGCAGAAAGTTTTTCCCGCACCGAATCCGTCCAAACGTGGCCGATGACTGGAACTTAATTAGGGTAATTGGTGTACAAACTGAGAAAACATATATGTGATTGATAAACTCAGTGAAAATGAAACATTGCGTGTGATAGGAACCTATTGTGTGCGGTTTTCTCCTTGTAAATAACGATAAACAATTGCTCTCAAGAACTATAACCATCGATATATATATATATATATCGCATATATATGTGTGTACTTACAGTGTATTGTGCTATAGCTATAAATATCCATGTTGTAATCCCCTATAGTATAACCATATTATATGCTATATCAATGTCTGCATTATATCCTATACAAATATCCCTGGCTATTTGGAATTAACATTGTACCCATCCCGGTGAAAACAGTTCGACTCTCATGACTGACGCGATATAAATATAGCATCTGGCCGGCTATGTTAAGGCCTACCCAAATACGTTTGTGTTGAACTCACAAAAGAAAATTAATGGGGGGGCGAATTGTGACACTACGCAAACTACGCTTGCAGGATTCCTTCACCTTTCTTAGACTGAATCACGGTTACTGCAACCAGTTATGTCTGAAAGAGGGCTACTGTTGTGTCATGGTTCGTTAAAACTGATATCCCATTACGTTAACGATCAGGCATCAGGTCAGTCTGAGGTCTCCGCACCTTTGGTACGGTACAAATTACCCCAATTTCATAAAATTAGGTTGACGTAACGGCGTGCTCTAATACAGCTTTTGCCCAAACATGGTCAAGGATCCACCCTCATAGTTGATGCCCCTAACCATTTTTATATACATTAGACTAGCGCGTTTTTCCTGGGAGACGGTTGGGCGAAATAGCCAGGGTAGACTTTATAGGTTTTAATCGTGGTTAACGTTTAAATACCTAAAGAACAATAGCTGTGTCGATGTTGTAGAATATATCATTGTAACCTATAAAGATATCTCCAGAGTACAGAAAAGAGTTTGAAGTCTTATTTATCACAACGTCAAGTCCTACTTAGACACACGACAGTGTGACGCAGAAGATTTGGCCGTCCGGACAGAGAGTACATGCCCCCAGAGTGTCACACCCCGCCTTAATATTTGACACATCTATAATTTCTATAAAAGAAAGAGGAAGGTTGAATTTTCCTTCAGACATCATTTGAAGATCCTAGGAGAGACATCGCTCGGGGTTCTTAGGGGGGAAATCATCCCACGGCATCATGTAGACTTAGAAAGAAGGGCGTAATGCCGCAAAACCCAAGCTAGGGGATAGAGAACTTCTATTTAGCTAATAGCTGTTTGTGCAGTTTCCTGTTTATAACCATTGTATACTGAGTCAATTGATTCTTAAAGTTTTTTTACACAACGTAAAGTCAAAGTTAGTTCCTAATTGACTGGTGCCGTTGACGTAAGGATGTCGACCCTGAAGGAATTCCTTGGAAGAAAAAGTTTTTAGGTGCAACTGGAAGCAGATGGAGTTTCCAGGTGGATGGATTACCCTTGGAAATGGAAGATCGCCATGTATACCTAGAAATAAGAGCGTAACGCCGCAAAATCCAAGCTAGGGGAAAGAGAACTTATATTTAGCTTATATTTAATGTCATATAAAACACAGTTAAACCAACAGTGTCTCAGAGTTAATTGATCCTTGACGTTTTTTACACAACCTGAAATCAAAGTTAGTTCCTAATTCACTGTAGTCTCACAGTCTCCTCGTTTTGGTGCCGTTGGCGTTAGGATGTCGACCCCGAAGGAATTCCTTGGAAGAAGAAGTTTCCAGATGCTAATGGAAACAGATTCCGGGTGGATAGATTACCCTTGGAAATGGGAGATCATCATATAGACTACGAAAGAAGAGCGCAACGCCGCAAATCCCAAGCTAGGGATAGAGAACTTAAATTTAGCTTATATTTAATGTCATAGCTTGGTGTGTAGTTTCCGGTATATAACCATTGTATTATGGATGTTATAAAGATATAAAAATATAGTTAAACGAACAAAGTGTTCCAGAGTCAATTGATCCTTGAAGTTTTTTTTACACAACGTGAAGTCAAAAGTCAGTTCCTAATTGACTGTAGTGTCACAGTTTTCTCTTTTTGGTGCCGTTGACAAAAATATGTCGACCTTCAAGGAATGACTTGGAAGAAGAAGAAGTTTCCAGATGCAAATGGAAGCAGACGAAGTTTCCAGGTGGATGGATTACCCTTGTAAATGGTCGTTTTTAGTTAGGTATCAATTTCCTAGTAAACTGACCATGGAAAGCCAAACAGACCAAGTAATAGATTTAATGAAATTGTAAATGTTAGAGATTTGCTAAATATAAAGTTTAAACAGGATGTTAAACTTGTAAAATTACCAAGCGAAGAAAATAGTGAAAACAAGTAAGGTTTAAGTTTAAACATAAACGTATTTGTCTGTATTAACTCAAACATTCACAAAGTATTCACGGGTGTATCTCTTAGTTTTTTTGTGCGTGTGTTTTGTATATACCTTGATTTTTTTTAAAGTTTTGCCTCGTACATTCGAGAGATCTGTATTCCTATTAGGAGGAATCGGTTATGTACCCTCAAGGAAAAGGGGTCGCGCTTAAATTAGAGGCGAAAAGAAATGCAGGACAGAAAAAATGCAGGGCTAAAAAGCTTATCTTCGAAACCGTGGGTGACAGGCGCGGTTTCCATAGAAAATAAGTACCAACAGAATCAGTTATGGATGCCGTGACTTTGAAACTGGAAATCTATCGTCAGCACAGCGTGAAGTCTCTAAAGATGACCACTGTCCAATGATCGGAAATGAATCATGCACAGTTCGATGATATGGAAATCCATAATTCAAGGATGGAAAAGGAGTAAATCACTAACAACTTCAAAAGACTTACGCACCGATGGCGGCGGAAGAGGTGGGAACAGAAATTTTGTTTTATTGTTGTTTTAAAGGTCATTTTGTTTTTAAAAGAATATAAATTATAATTGTTTGTTTTTGAACACATAGTTTGGCTTTGAAAATGATTAGTAACAAAGTACTCAAAGTAAAATATTTTGTGATTGTTTGGCTGGAATTGAGTTAAGATTCTCCTAATTTGGAAATTGTTGAATAGACGATTGAATAGATTTTTTTTATCGCCCACCGTTGTGTTCGCGGTAAATATATTAACTCATAAACATTCACAAAGTTTTCATGGTTTTATCTCCTATGTTTTTTTTTATTGTGTTTTGTATATACCTCGATGTGTAATACTATAGGGTTTATTTTAGTTATAAGAAAGGTGTTCTGTTTAATATAGAAATTCGTTACCTACATGATGTGTGACGAAAACTAGGGTAATGAAGTATCTTGCATTATTCTACTACTATCTTAGACTAACTCGCCGACAGTTATGTCAGTATCCATTGCTGGAAGTAGGGTACTATAATACAATTAACTAGAATAGTCTTGACGTAAAACGGTGCCTATACGAAACACTTACCCAAAAATGGTAATTGTCCCGCCCTAATAGATGACGCATTATACTATTCTATATAGGTAAGAGCGGGTTTGATTTACGCTCAGATATCATGATGAGAGCGTAGTGAAGACCATTATTCAGAGCTCAGGGGAACATACCCATAACCTCCTCGGCTTAGAGGCCATGGTGAACACATCATCCTAGCGCGAACCTTATGTAGAACTAGCAAGAAGTATGTGGCTCTTGCCACGTTTAGGCCGTTAGGTCTGAGTTAAAAAGGATATTAAACTCAGACCGTGGTTAATTTAATAATTCGAAAAGTACTATCATAACTTTGTTGTTTGCTGTATTTGTTTAATTATATAAACTTATATATAGTATCAACATAAACGTTGTTCCAAAGTCAGTTAATTGATGATTGAAATAATTTATCCCACAACGTGAAGTCGAAGAAGGTCCTAGACGAACGTGTCACACATCTACCCCGTAGTGTCACAGATGTAACTGAAAAGTTTTAAAAGAGGTTTGCCTCGTAAATTCGACAGCTTTGTATTCGTATTAAGAGGAATCGGTTTATACTCTCAAGGTGTGTGAGTTAGTTGTATTTTGCGCCCGCTTCCACCGAGGTGATATCGCAGACAAGGAAGAAGGGTCGCGCTTAAATGAGAAGCGAATGTTATGTTTGGTTTTGTGTCTTGTTCCCAACTTAGAGAGATAAACCGTTGTTAAATTTGATAAGTTTTTTTTATCTCAAGTAAAAAAACAATATGACAAAATCCTTAGAGAGATAAACCGTTGTTAAATTTGATAAGTTTTTTTTATCTCAAGTAAAAAAACAATATGACAAAATCCTATGTTAATTTATATTTATATATGTACGTTTTGTATTTTGTTTGCTATTTTTTCTTAAAATTATACTTTGATTGTGTGAATTTCCTTTTTGTGATGTTTAGAAATGACATTTTGTTTTTAAAAGAATGTAAATTATGATTGTTTGTTTTTGAATGGTTGAAATATAGTCATATACTATATTAATGTACCTTGTTGATGTTTAATTTATGTTCCTGTTTTATTTATGTAGCTGTTGTATATTTTGTTCCTGATGTAAAAAAATGATATATTTACTAAACTGATATCTGTTATCACTAAGATAATGTCACACTTGTCTGTGTAGACTCAGTTCCTTACAAGACATTCGTATCAACTTTCTATAGTGTTGAAAGGTATGTATAACCATAAGTTTGCTGACAGAGAGACGGGATATAACACTATCGTTCGGATTAGAGCACCCGGTTAAGTCGTAGGAGAGCCATATGATGTAAGGGGGTACATCAGTAAACTTGTCCTACGAAATGGTGGGGCAAAGAGAATAATGGTAATCGTAATCTAGTAAACACAAGCTGGGGAATGAGAACTTATATGTAGCTTATATTTAATGTCATAGATGTGTGTCTAGTTTCCTGTATTATGGATGTTGTCACAGGGAGAGGAGACGAGGGGAGCAGAAGGAGGGGGGGGGGCTGTTTCCGAACAACCCCCTGCATTAAAAGTTGTTGACGAAGTAACAGTTTACAAAATTATAAAGGAACTCAGACATGTTAAAGTTGTAGACAAGCCTTGGCCTCAACCAAATTCTGTAATAAGTGGTATTGGAATCATTTTGACGATAAGTGTCTTTACTTATGATCTGATTATGTACATTTTTCCCTAATGCTAGGTTCCCCACTGTCGTACGATGCGTTACGATAGGATTGTTCCTATTGAGTCCACGATCTGGTACGTGAAGATACGTTCGGGTACGTTTCGATACGATCAACACGATTGCCACGCCTGACCTCAATATATGACAAGACCTGATAGGATCACCACGATTAAAACCACGATTTCAATCGTAGCGCGAATCGTGATAGTGGGAACCTATTATAATATATACTTATTTAAAATAAATCATGATAGGCCTAATTGATATGATTTGAAAAACAACGTCTGGCGTGGTTCCCCCTTGTCAGTGATGCAGGGCGGAGGGCCTGTCTAGGACAGCTGTCTAGTCCTTCGGATGAGACGAAAAACCGAGGTCCCGTGTATACATTAGAATGCAGGTAAAAGATCCCTTGGCAGTTGGAATTCGATATAAGTGTAGGCGATAGTGCCGCTGCCCGGGCAAAATTTACCTCACAGCACACTGTATGGCGTATGCCCGTCTTCATTAGCCCAGCATAGGAACAGAACAGTAGGACGTTAAACCCAATTTCATTTCATTTCATTTGAAAAACCACGTGTTAATACCTTAAACAGAGACTATAAAGAACAGTGATATAAATAAAAGGCACCATGTTGGGGTCATCAGTGTCCCATGACTGTCATCATCTTTAATCTCGGCGAAATGAGGTACATATTCTTCACCACGTAGAATTGTTCTGAAAAAAAGAAGAGAAATATTGTGACCGAATCTTAGTAAATTTAGGGGGGTTGGATGGCGGAATGGTTAGCACGTGCGTGCTGTATCATAAAGCCTGTCATTGAGTCAACTGGCGTGGTTCCGAATCAACGGTTGTACGTGAAAAGGAGTAGGGTCGCCTGTCCAACCTCGTGAGTTTTCTCCGGGTCCTCCGGTTTCCTCCCACTGCTAAACACCCCTACGCGCAAGCGAATTGTTGAAATAAAATGGAACCATATGTTAATCCCAAAATGACCTAGTTTGTGTCGAGCGGACGTTAAACCCCATCTCTCTCTCTCTCTCTCTCTCTCTCTCTCTCTCTCTCTCTCTTTTAGTAAATTTGAATAAAATCTAGTGTGAGGACTAGGGCTTTGATGATCCAGTATCTAAACGACCTGATACAAATCCCTTCCTGTTAGATACAATCCGATTAAAACATAGCTGCAAATTTGAGCCGTGATAATTCTTATCTACGGCTGCACTATTCGAGGCTTGACCAAGTAAAATTAGATCCAATTGCAAAATTTTCAACACATAATCTTCACAGTTTGCATGGAAATAAGTAATTATGTTACAAATAGCGAAGAGTGGAACACTGAAATCATTATCTTATCTTACCGAACAGTTTTTCGAGTGCACATGACACCCCGTGATTCTGGTTCGGCAGCCATTTTAAACTGAACAGAAATTTCGCATAGCAATAGGAGTTAATCAAATCATGGTAAGGTTTCACCTTTATTTCAATGGGAATTGGTTTATTATATGTTAAGCTATGTATAGTACAGTTTGGGGTCTGTATTATTGGAAATTAATGGAGTTATAGGCCAGAATTTTTTTTTATTAATCAACTGACTACAAAACTTGCTCAAAGGAAGGCTTTAGGACGCGATCCACTACTTTGGCTGGAGCAAGACGGAAGACATCAGTAGTGGAACCATTTTTAATAAAAGCACAGATCCTATTTCGTTTCGTTTTTTATAGTTCAAAATCTCGATTTATTTATCTGTACTACACTAGAATCTGGAAGAGTTGTTATATAACCTACGTTCTGAATAGCGTGAGCGATTAGCCAATGAAACCATCTGGCGTGCGATTCACGGAACTGTAAGTAAACCATTAGAAACTTCAACACTGATTGATTAATCAATGTCTACGTTATAGGGTCAAAAGCCGCTCGTACGACCCCTGACGCGATCGCACAATACAAATGGTCAGATCTTCATTTAGTGTAAACCACCGAAAGTATCAAAAAACGACTGTGTTAGACAGTATTTAGTCTTATGAGTACCTTTCCAATAAATATGAAGTGAATTCGACTATTTTGTTCAGAAAAAAACCCAGTGGTTTTAAAAAAAAGACAATAGTTGCTACGGGGATTTAGTCTGGGGTGTGTGTAATATATATGTAATAAGCCTAATGACTTGACTAGAGAAGCCTAGTTGCAACCTCGCTCAGTAATAAGCAGTAATTGCATCCCATAGAATTGTGACCTGTCTATATCAATATTGCCCGATCAGATATTGTACACTTACTTGTATCCTAAAATAGTTTGTATAATTCCATCAGCTATTGTTGCATTCTTGTTAAAATAATGTCTAGTATTCATTGATACTTGTATAATAGCACTATCTCTTAACCTCAATCTCGCATGTTGTCTTGTTAAGGTATAAATCTACAAAAAAACAACATACAATTAACAGTGAAACTAGTTTTATAAACAAGTACCATCGTACTATGTTTGTATGGATGGAGGGTCTGACAAGGATAGCTGTCTAGTAGTTCGGATGGTACGAAAATGGTTAGCGCGTGCGCGCTGTATCATAATGGCTGTCATTCAGTTAATTGGCGTGGTTTCGATCACAAGCGAATTATTGAAATAAAATTGAACACTATGTTAGTCCCGAAATGACCTAGTTTGTGTCAAGTAGACGTTAAACCCCATTTCTCTCTCTCGTAGTTTGCAGTCATTTCCATTACTAACACTTACAGTTTAAGAAATTATAACTGCTCAAGAACCGCGAGTGTTTGAACGTGCATATGCCCAACATGACGCACAAGACCATTAAAGATACATTAAATCTGCCAATTGCAGGATTTTCTTTAGGCCTGAAATGTTATCTTAATTATTAATTAGACATTAATTAACTTATCCAGACCATAACCAACTCTCGATGTCATCGCTAGCCTGCGATATGTACTGGATTATGATCCCATTTGCTGCTCGACTTCCATTCATAATTTAATCATGAAATGGATGGTCGACACTATGTTTTTTTTATCGTACATACTTTAGTAATGATGATCGAAGCTAGGCCGAAATTTCAATCGCTTAAGTCTCAGTTCATAGTGGATCAATTTGAATTAAATTTTCAGCAAATTGCCTTTACATTATCTAGTTTTTAACTATTATAGTGAGAACTGCCAGCTCTTTATCTAATCTCCCATAATGTATCTTTAATAGCTCATTGCTCGTCGCTCGTTATCCATGCACCGATGTCACAATTACTCAACGCCTGAGACTTTTTTAAGAATATACTTCTACGTTTTTGTTTTTGTATAATTACAACCAAATGTGAGGCCTTACTCGTAACAATATTCTACGTGTTTGTTTTTGTATAATTACAACCAAACGTGAAGCCTTACTCGTGTTTTTTAAGTCTTGATATTTTCTGCTGATGTCATAATTACCCATCTGAAAACAGTTATTTCTGAGATTAGCTGAACAGACGCTAGTGTTTTTATCCCCTTTTTTATTTCAAGTGACTGATTGTTGATTGTATGTAACAGAAACCAGGTCAATATAAGTAATGATCTATTTTACTGTATGGAACACGTGCTACAATTCTTAGTTTTCAATATCTAATCTTGGGTTCAACTGAATGTAATGGATGCGTGATGTTATATACATTGTAGACTGGCATCCAGTCTGTGGAAATACTTGTTATCTCATGATACTGTACTGATTGCTAGCTAATATCACCTAATCTGGCCGCCAGTCTATGGAAAGCATACTATACACCGTCTAATACCACCTAGACTGGCCGCCACAATCTGTTTCACAGAGGATTACGAAAGTTTTATTGTAGAGGCCTAGTATTCACTGCTGATCAGTGTGTGGCCTCCAGTCTGTCAAAATGCTAGTTATCTTATTATATTGTATTGAATACTGTCTAATACCACCTAGTCTCGCTCCCAGTCTCTCGAAATACTAGTTATCTTATTATACTGTACTGAATACTATCTAATACAGGTTAGTCTGGCCCCCAGTCTCTCGAAATACTATATATAGTTATTTCATGACACTGTACCGAGTGCTGTTTATACCACCGAGACTGTCCGCCAGACTGTGGAAATACTAGTTATTTCATTATATTGTAGCCTACTGAATACTGTCTAATACCACCTAGCATGATCGCCGATATTTCGAGAGATTCTGTATTGTAATACTGTCTAATATCACCTAGCCTGGCCCCCAATCTGTCGAAATACTAGCTATCTTATTATACTGTACTGATTAGATTGGGTTTTGTCTTTTTTTCAGGGGCCGGACATTAAATTTTCGGTGAAATGTTCCACAATGTTTGACATCTCAAACTAGTCACTTATTGACGTAAAATATCGAATGAAGCTTGTGATAAGAGATAATTTAATATTGAGAAAGGGCGTACATGCTGGGCACCACGTGGATACAGTAAAATAATTATGCTGAATTATGCCATATAGGCCATCAAAACGCCAGTACTTGGCTGTTTTAAAATTGGTACTGTAATAACAATTCAAATGGACATATAACTAACGCAGTTTCCTGCGAGTCTTCTACCCAAGGAACCTAGTCAAACTTTAGGAGGTGGGATAGGGATGGATAAAGTTGATTCTACAAATTCTATACTTACTATATTATCATTTCTAGCATAAAGAATTAAAATAGTTTCATTACAGGTACCAACTAGATTCCATCTCTGTGATAATAGGTAGGCGAATAACTGGGCATCTTTTAATTTACCCTCTGGATTATTTCCAGTCATACTGAAATTAAACAAAATTGAATAATTAGGTTCTGGCTAACCGCCTAGTCGTTCGGATGGGACAAAAAACTAAGGTCCTGCTCACACGTTGGTGCACACGTAAAATAACCCCTGACAGTTGTAATTCGATATAAGAGTAGTATGGGCCGTTGCGCCGATGTTCGGAAAATATGTCCCTCATAGCACACAGTAGAAAAGTATGACGCTACACCCCACTTCATTTTAGATTCGGCTAATACGAGATTTTCTCTTCTTCGTTTTGCTTATATCCAGCGTGGTTTCCCCTCTTTTGTGGTGCAAAAGACGGACAGCGTCTTGGATATCGTCTTGCGCTTACCCATGGTCCATGGGTAAACCCCATTTCATTTCATTACATTTCTTCTTAACCCTGGCTAAATCTATTCGTTAAGGCCAGTTCAATTTTTGTCAAGGTCGCTGAGATGTAAATAAGATTATGGCACGTAATTGTTGGCGAGATTGTAGGTTAGGGTTAGGGTAAGCATTGGGGCTAGGTTCAGGGTTGGGATTAGCGCTAGCCCTGTTTACATTTCGTGACCTATGACGAAAAATTAAGCTGGCCTTATCATTTAGCACCAACCCTAAACCCTGCTAAAATTTGGAACCGACAGCTCTTGCGCGCAAGCCAGTTCATGATAATACTGGGAAAGGATAACAAATCGGTTTAACATAACAAAGTATTAACGGAACAGTCTATTTACAGGTTCATGTTACAAGAGAAATTAGCTGAAGCATCACTATTCTACTTACTGTAAGGAACGAGAGTAGAATATTGGGAAACTAAGCCACCTACAGTGTAGTTTGTTTTTATAGATAGACCTCTCTTAGCAGTATATACATCCTTCTTAAAGTGGCATTTAGTAACACACTAACACTACATGTATTTATGGAATAACAATTACTGGGCCCTGTTTCTCGAAATCTTAACTAAAGATAAAATCCATATTTTAGTAGAAACTTCAAGTTTGATTGGCTAAGCACTAAAATCAATCTAATATTATCCAATCAAAATACTAAAATTTGAATTTTATCTTAGTTAAAATTTCGTGAAACAGGCCCCTGGTTTATTAACCTGCAACGCTTCAACATGACACCCTCGTCTTGATCAAGCTTTGTAATTGTTATTTCATAAATAGTGTTAGTGTGCAGCATACACCTAATTAACTACATTGTATATAATAATGGTTCAAGGCGCCATAATAAGTACAATAATGGTTCAAGGCGGCGGCATGGCAAGATATTGTCATTAATTGTTTCTCCAGTTGAAGATAAGGGATCTACATTTTGACCTTAAATATTTCAAAACATTTTATAGTTACTGGTGCTTGTAAGTCCCTGCCACGAATTGCAGGTATTGACCACGGTTTACCCCGGATCGCTCCGGTTTGAGAACCGGAGAGATCCTGGGTAAAACGTGGTCTTCCCCCGGTTCTCAAACCGGGACGAACCGGGGACATTTTGGCGGCAAAGCCGTATAACATTTTACTATCAGAGTTACAACATTTTACTACATCAGGGGTAAACCCAGAACCATCATGGGGCGTCCAGTGACCCCAACCTGTTTAAAGGTCTTGTTATCGGTGAACATTAAAGGTGGGGCGAGTACCATTATAATTGTGGTAGAGAAAAATAATCTATCTAGGTTCCCACTGTCGTGCGATACATTACCATAGGATTGTCCCTATTAAGTCCACAATCTGGTCCGTCCAGATATGTTCGGATACGTTTCGGTCCGATCAATGCGATTGCTACGACTGACCTCAATATATGATAAGACCTGATAGAATCACCACGATTACAACTACGATTTCAGTTGCAGCACGAATCGTGAAAGCGAGAACCTAGCAATATATGATAGAGACTCCAACCAGTTTAAAGGTCTTGTTATCGTGTGTACATTAACGGTTGAGCGAGTACCATTAAAATTCTGGTAAAGAACGGTAATCTATATATGATAGGGTTATCGCTGACCCAGTGAGAGGTGGGTGTAGCCGGTAGACCAGTCCGGAACCCATCATGGATCCCCATTGAGCCCATAGATATGTCGCGTGTCCAACCCCGTGGGTTTTCACCGGGTCCTCCGGTTTCCCCCCAGTGCTAAAGACCTCTACGCGCAAGCGAACCATTGAAAAAAAAATTGAACCATGTTAGTCCCGAAATGACTTAGTTCCTGCCAAGTGGACATTAAACCCAATTTCTCTCTCGCGCTCTCTATAGATATGTATTTATTTTTTTTTTACGTCGGCGTGGCCAATATTCGTACTACAGAGCCTCTGGTCCGACCTCAGATGTCTTACTCTGGCAATCAATGGGGGTGGGGGGAGGCAAAATATGTCTAGCTTCGGAAAATTAAATATTCTCTCGGAGAAACTGGGTTATCGTATACATGATCATATGTTATCTATTAATCCTGTATCTCTTATTGATATTGTCATGGTAACGGGTATGTTAAGGCGCAGAAACACTGAAAGGAACATGTTTGACTATGTATGTTCTACACGTGCATCTGTATATGTATGAGATATAAATAGGTATATATGTGAGATGATAAAGATGATAAACAATACCACCTGTGAAGATGTGAAGACCGGGTCCGCCATTTCGACATATTAATACACGAAAATGGATAATTCCTGCGTAATGTGGATTTTTTTTAGAAGTTTATAAACTAAAGTTAATGAAGAAAAGATCAAAAAAACTTGACGGTTTCTTCCAGTCTCAACAATTACATAATTTTTGTGTCTATATTTTAATTAGAGCCATGGCATGTAATATGAAAAAAATATATTTTCACATGATCAATGTAAAACGTAGTTGGAATGTTAGAAATTACCCCAATATTAATATTTTAAAACATTTTTGTACATTTCTGTTTGATCTTTTGCTGTTATATTCTCGTTCAGACGACCCCGCACAACCCATACACCTACTTTTTTGTCGAGCGTCATCTTCGATATTCCGTACCGTAAAGACCCTATGAACTTTCTCGAAATTCTCGGCCAACACCGAAATCGAAAACGGGACCTCCAGGTTAGCGAACGGAGGTTCAGGGTCAGTTGTGAAATTTGCTGGATAATCAACCACATAAAAAAAAACCTAAAACCTCCCAGTTACGCTTGGGCAATGGAACTTTTTAGCTAAGTCAAGAAAGAGTTGCGTCCCTTCCCGAACCGAATCCAATAATCCATACATTATTATACACAAACATGAATCGTGATGACGGCTTAGGATTAATAACAAATATAATCTTTTTTCCTCCAACAAATTAATTTCTAAAACATTTGTTTTTTATTTTGTGTGTCGAAATAAACTCTTAGTCATGTGTCTGCACTCTCTAATAGTAAGTCCAGGGGGACTGCACCACACATAATTTACACAGAAACAAATATATGGACAAGATACGCAGAAATCACAAACAAACGAACAATTCAAATAAAGTGAATGGATCCGGGGTCTAGCCGTAAGCTTCCACTGCGCTGTACAGTCCCGGACCAGTAGTGACATAGACTTCACTAAAATTTGAAAACAATCAGGGATATAACCATTTAAACATGGGCCTCGAGAAAATATTTAACAATTGATTCTAGTATATGGCTATCTTTTACTATAGAAATAGTGGACCTTCTCCTTTAATAGAATTTGTCTTTATCTGTTCCTGTATCAATATAGACTAGAATATGAGCAGAAGGACTAAAATAACGTCACGGATTGTTTATTCACGGAACGTTACGACTACCCACGGAGAATAGCGGAAATTACTAACGTTTAAATTTACCTGCTGCAAGTAATATTGACATTCGGACTCCTGTTATGTTGGCATAATTACTTGCATTATTTAAAAAAAAATTGAAGCTTTTCCGTTGACCTTTAATACCAGATGAAATAAACTGGCGTTTAACGTCCTACACTTCTGCACCGACTGGGCTAATGAACACAGGAGGCCATGATACACTGGAAGTTTTTAAGTGTACCTTTTTTCTAGACTGTTTTTATTATACCGACTACAATGTCTTTACACCAGTAATCTTATTTAAGTTAGCTAGGTTAAAAATAATTGTTACCGTCTATATAGATATGGGAAAACAGAATTGTTTTACTTGGCAACATAACAACAGATCAATCGCCTTGTCTGAGAACACTAACTCAATCTGTTACGGGTTTCATTAATTGCCTTGTCTGAGAACACTAACTCAATCCGTTATATGTTTCATTAACCGTACAAAGCAGAACAAAAAACAATCTAACTTGGGTTCATTTATTCTTTAAAACGAAGAAATATTTTACATGGTGACATAAGAAATGATTTTATTTAAAGACTCTAACTCAATATCATCCAAAGTCTTCGACATTGAAAACACAAATTATTTGTCAATTTAAATCAACATTGATGTTGTGATCTTACCGGGAAAAGATGGACTTCTGATATTCAATATTTAAGACAAAATAAACATTTTACCTTTAACCGCCAACACCAATTTTTCAAATCACTTATTTTTGTTTAGACTCGGTGTGCATGGCGTTGGCTCGCTAACCAGGAGGTCTCGAGTTCGATCAAGATGGACGAGACATTTATGCAGGATTTTTCAGCCTAGTAGGCCCTTGACGGTGGTGCTGACAAGGCAAAGGGTCTAGTCGTACGGATTGTGCGTAAAACCGAGGTCTCGTGTACATACCACTGGAAGCACGCTACCCCCACCCCCCTCGAAAGTTGGAGATCGAAAAATGTATAAACCGTGGCGACGCTGTCTGATCGAATATTCCCTCACTATCTTCATTAGCTCGGTTATAATGAAAACTGAAATGGGGTTTAGAGTCCTACAGGAGATCAAGACGTCTAGGTCCTACATTGGATTGTATTTCTTGAATGTCGGTTAGGATTAAAGTACCGATGCGTCATTTGCATTTTCCCTAAAATATCAAATTTCTCATGGCTTAATCCACGCTAAATATGTACTTAGCTTAATCATTTAACATTTAATTAAGAAAAAATTAAAATACCAATGCTAGATAATTTTCCCGGCTTATATTCAGTCGGATTTAATCTAGGACCATCAGGTTTCTCCGCTGTACCATTAAAAGATGGCGGTGTCTTGTTATATAGCGAACAGCATATCGATGATATTTAAATTTATTATAACTTTGTAAAACCTGAACGGAATTGCACCATTTCAAAATATTGTATGTTTAAGGGAGCGCTACATTATGCATCAAGGCTTAATGTGAAGGATAAAGTACGAGACTGACGTTATGCTGGGCCGGCAATAGAGAATGAAGAAAATAACCCGAGAAAAAGACGCCGATAGGCCGAGGTTTTTCTTTCGAGGGTTTTTTCTGAAGTCTTTCTTCCCCAGCATAACCAAAGTCGAGGACTTTATCTTGCTTATAAACCGTCTCGTAAAATGAGAATATCCCAGAATTCCAGTAAGAAAAACCTTAAATCATGTTAACTAATGGAAAATAAAAACCTACCCTGGAAGAATACCCCGTTACAGGTTTAAAGAAAAAACTTTCAGAAGAATTCCCCTGTATATATTCAAAGCCGCTCCCGACTTTCAGACGGGCATGTTATTCCTGGCATAGAATATACCCCAGAGATCAAAGAGATTTACCATTATAGGTTTATTATAGAACTTGAAAGCTATACACATATGTTCTTACTTTAATATTTTCTGCATTTGTGGTAGTATAGCAACTCTGATGATGTAGCCTCGTTTAGCTTGAACACAGTCATAACACATACACCTAGTATCATTCCTTACACCGTCTATAACTCTATCAATCTCATCAGCTGAAGAGAGAAAAAAAACACATGATTTATAATATAAACACTTCTATATCTATCGTCGTTAAAAACAATAGACACTGTAATGAGATATACGGCACATTTCAAGTACATTGAGTGATAATTATGGCGCCAAGAGTACAATACAATATCAGTCACGTGATCACCGAAACTTACCGGAACAAGTTCGGCTAAGGCTAGAACAACTCCACGTTTTACAGAGAGCGTCTTCATCTTGCGTAGAAGAATAGAACGTCGACACCAGACGTTAGACCACGTATAGTGCTAGCAACTTACAGGACCGGTTTTTTGGCACATTTGACCAGTGCCGGACTGGTGGGCTGAAGGCCCACCTGTCAGGTCATTGACTAAGGCCCACACAAGTACACGCTGAAGGTCCGCCAGCGTCCGAGGGAGGGGGGGGGGTGGAGAACCCACCCGGAAAATTTTGAAAATTGACAACCGCAAACCCATTTTCCAAGCATTTCAGACCAAAGCAGAAGAAACCAAATTTTTGATTTCCAAGTGAAATCCCCCCCCCCCCGGAAGTGGTTAATTTTTCGCGAAAAACTCAAAACTGGCAAGTTTTTGGCGATTATTTCGGCGATAATGACTTATGAAGAACTAAGTAGAGGTTAAAAGATGAATTACACGGTTCTCGGTATAATGAGGTCAAACTCATAAAGTTCTTTCCTTGTAGTACACTTCTTTTTTTGTGTTGTTTGTCAGTCATTTTTTTCCTAGCTTTTCTTTCTCCTGTCCTGTGTCCTTTCCTCTCCTTCCTTCTTTCTTTTCTCCCCCCCCCCCTCTCCTTTCTTTTTTCTTTTTCTTTTTTCTTTATAGGCTCAGGCCCACTTTTTTAAAATGAGCTTAGGCCCACCTGTCAAAGACAGGTGGACAGGTGGGTCCAGTCCGGCACTGCATTTGACCAATTACTCCAAATTGGGCCCCACACTGGAAAGGGGTCCAGCAGCTCAACAACTTAAAATATTTCCAGGCAATCTGGCAGCAGGGCTACCAGGTGTACCTATTTTCAGGTATACATCACATGCAATATACGTGGCTTGGATGCAAGTGTCGAAATTTTGCGGAGGTCCTTTAAAGAACTATAAACTTCTCCCTTTAATGTCGACCACGATTTCCCAATATATAAACTGTCCCTAGTTCTTCGCGTGGTACCAAACCCAGCGGTGCAGTTGGAGTATTTTGGACAGTCAGAGATCAGGCACGTCGCTGTCGGGGAAAATATCCCATCTCCTGGTTAAATTGTCGACTAGAGGTTAAATAATACAAATTTCATTCCGTTCGCTAATGCCTAGGTCCCACTGGGCATGTTTTGCCTCGGGGATGGACATTGATGAGCCTATTTTCCCTACAATGCAAACTTCAAAATTTTTCGCAGTTCATCCCGAGACCTGCCGATGATTCTACGTGGCTCTCGATGCCCCCGGTAGTTCCACTTGGACGCCGTGGAACCTGTTCATGACGCCTCCCGAGGCTTATAAAAATGTCCATCGGTAGTATATCCCCGAGGCAAAATATGCCTAGTGGGGCCTAGGCATAAACTAGGCGAACTATAGTTATATTATATCTCAAATTGTGGGCTGATCATACGGACAATATTGACGACACGCAACCACACCGTAATGATCTCTACCCATTTTAAAAAAATCGGCGAGGCTAAAATTAAAATAATTTTACGAAATGAAAATGAAATGGGGTTTAATGTCATACTGTTCTGGGCCGACTGGGTAAATGAAGACAGTAATAATAATTTTATTACTACGTGTTCACACAAAGGGATTTTGTGGACATTCACACAAAGGGATTTTGTGGACATTCACACAAAGGGATTTTGTGGACATTTTATAGCATGTGCTAAAATGCCGGCCATATCTGTATTTCTTCAAGAATCGTTTGAGAAATACCAGGTAGGTTTTGATGAGGGATGATTTAATTGACACCTCGTTAAATCAACAATAAACAACATTCCAGGTTTAGTTAATGGAACACCTGCTGAAAACAGACTGCCGTTTATTTTTATACTATGTCGGCTTTAAACATTATAAAACTGGAGGGTCTGCATAAAGTCATTAACCGGTAGTATAGACAAATTTAATAACATCAATTTTGGAGCGGTTCCAGAATCTCTCCACTAAATATTTCAATAAATATTTTCGGATTCCAAAGATTTTGTACGTGGTTTTGTGTATGCTTGCTTTGAAAAGCAGAAGACGACTCGCTAGCCTGGAGGTCTCGAGTTTGCTACTGGTTTTGGCCGAGAAATGCTCGGGATTTTCCAGACGGAGAAACTGACAAAGACAGCTGTTCGGATGAAAATAAAAATCGACGCCCCGTGTCCACATTGACATGCACGTAAAAGACCCCTTGACAGATGGAATTCGATATAAGAGTAGGCCGTAGTGCCGCTGTACAGGCAAAATTTCACCAACAACACACTGCAGTGCGTGCGTAGAGAGAGGGACTACTTTGTGCCTCTTGCCACAAAAACTGCCCTTGCGTCCAAAGTATTCAATATTTGCTGCCCAAATTGGTTTCCCTACATAGTTTAAGAAGTTGTTTATCATTAACAGGTAGTATCCAGCCACAATTAATTATTCCGGAATAAAATGACCGGGTCCCAAAATTGTTTGGTCAAACGGCACAATTTATCCCGAGGGTGGCGTAAGTTGAGTCGAGGCAATGTAATCAAGAAGTATTGATATATTTCACGCAAATACAAATGTTTATTCATACTGTTGTTACAATTGGTCATAGGACATTACAATGATATATATTATACTATTCACATGCAATTTACTCATGCATTAAGGGCACCTACACAAATCCTATACATGACTATATACAGTCCTAGTAGTATCCCTGACAAGAGGGCTAAATTTTTGACGTCTGGGTTTGTTCAGGTTCACTGATATTTAATTGACTGGTATAACAGCATGTCAGACTTCAGTAGCATTATTGCCTTGATATAAATGGTTCCATTAGATAAGCACTGACAACTATAACCGGCACTGAGGGTATCAAATGTCAAAAGACGTTTTAATTTATGCTCTTATCTTATTATATAAAGTGGATAAAAGTAATTTGATATCACTTCTAAGGAGCTTGAGAATCTCAAATAAATTACACAAGACACAGTTCTAAACTTAACTAGTCTAAACCCCCGTGGGGAGTTGGATGGCCGAATGGTTAGCATGTACGCGCTGTATCATAAGGTCTGTCATTGAGTCAACTAGCGTGGTTTCGATTCCCCCGTTGTACATGACAAGAATTAGGGTCACCTGTCCAACCTCGTGGGTTTTCTCAGGGTCCTCTGGTTTCCTTCCACTGCTTAAGACTAGGGTTAGGGCAAGCGAATTATTGAAATGAAAATGAACCATGTTAGTCCCGAAATAAAAAACCGAGGTCCCGTGTATATATTGGAATGCACGTAAAAGATCCCCTGACAGTTGGAATTAAATATACAAGTGTAGGCGATAGTGCCGCTGCCCGGGCAAAATTTCCCTCAAAGCACACTGTATGGCGTATGCCCGTCTTCATTAGCCCAGTATAGGAGGAGAACAGTAGGACGCTAAACCCCATTTCATTTCATTTAGTCCCGAAATAACCTAGTTTGTGTCGAATGGACGTTAAACCCAATTTCTCTCTCTCTCTCTATTAACCCATCCACAACAAAAAAGTAGTTAATTGTTTTCTCTGGAGCTGCCCCTCCTCCCTAATCTAGTTAGCTCACTATGATCCTATGAGGAATGGGTCATTTAATCTCTCTAAAACCGAGTTTGATAGATTAAATAGTTTATTGGTTAAAGCTTATCAAAATGCCTGGAACTGATGTCAGCGTCCACCAGAAATGAAATGAAATTGGGTTTAACGTCCCACTGTTCTGCTCCGACTGGGCTAATGATGAAGGGAATACACCATACAGTGTGTTATGAGGGAAATTTGGTCGGGCAGTATACGATTACCAGAAATGAAATGAAATGGGGTTTAACGTCCTACTGTTCTGCTCCAACTGGACTAATGAAGACGGGTATACGTCATACAGTGTGCTATGAGGGAAATTTGGCCGGACCGTATACGACTACGTTTTGTTTTGAAAGTTGACTAATTTAAGTTAGATTTTTGGCTTACCGTGTCGTCACTGGAACGCAAAATCAGTTAGAATATACCTCCGTTCCATTTTGTTTTGAAAAATTAAGTTTATTAATTTTAATTTTATTTTTAGCTTACTGTCTCGACAGTGAAACACAAAATCTATTACATCTCAAGCTCTCCTATCATTACAAAGATACATTATCATGGTGGATCCGTTTCCGAGTGCAATTAGATACTTTAAAATAATAATAATAATAACTAGATCTGCATAGCAGATATCAAAGCTTTCATATAAACTTCAAAAGGGGTTATTAGAATCTATGAATCAACAACCACTCTGACGGAAGATATTCTCTGGGCTAAAAAATCTTTTTTCTCTCAGCTACGAGAGATACGTAGAATTAAACCGGCCCAGAGCCGACCGTGTTGATACGAAGCCGCTTATTTGACATTGACACATAACTGAAGGTGAATAGGCCTACCCGTCCAGTTAATACAATGGGCAATCTCACATCGGTCCACTAAAGAGAGGCACATGCTAGTCGCCCCCTACTTCCCCAAGACATTTAGTCCAAACCTTGACTCTCATACATATAAACCATTTGGTACTACATGTACATGTATTTCGTACTTATATCATATTAAACCCCTCGGCCGCCATGTTGAATCACACAGTATTTAACGTTCTATATCCTAACATCTTTATGAAATCAACGACAAATCTAAACTTGGGCACTCCAACCATTTTTATTTTTACATCATTCAGTTTTTTTTAAATAAGTAATTCTATCACAAATTATAGTGAAGACTGGACCACTAAACTAGTTACCCATCAGTTTTTCTTTGTGTTAATGCGTTCTACATTTTCAAAGCAATGATTCTTATAATGTGCGAGCCGCCATGACACCGGCGGATATTATAACTTCGATAGGCGAGAAACTTCAGGTAGCAGTTGGGTTTCATCAAATCATATAATTATGCGGTACGGCTTCACCTTTATTTCAATGGGAATTGGTTTATTATATGTGCAGTGCAGTTTTAGGTCAGTTTATGTGTAAATTAAGGGAGCTATACATAGGCCAGTAACCTTTTTGCAGTCATTTGACTAAAAAAAACTTGCGGAAAGGAACTCCGTAGGACAAGCCACTACTGTGGCAGGAGTAAGGCGGAAGACATCAGTAGTGGAACCATTTCTAAGTTAATCCCGAAGTGCGTTGCTATTGTAAGAATATATAAAATCGGGTTTCCGTTCCGCTTTTTTTTGCTGTAGTTTGAGTAATGAGTTAGAGCGTATATTTTGTAGTCAAAAAATCATTGCAAATAGAAGACCTCATCCCCACCACCACCAACCTGTAATACACTAGCTAGCTTGTGTATTTCCATATTCCATTTCCGAGAGATAGATAGAGAACACGCGAAATATAAAGTGATTTTTCTTACAATCAGGGACCATAATTCATGAAGTTACGATTCGATATGCGCAAATATCGAAAGGAACCATATCTTTGGGTTATAAACATGCATGTCAAGTTTCATCAAAATCTTTCACTGTGAAAAACCGGGGCTAAGTCATCTGAAATCAAACAAATTTTACAATGTAGGTAGTGAAAACAAAATGTTATGTTAAGCGTTGTTCGAGGGTGGGGTGGGTGCATAAAATTCCAAATGCAAAGGGTTATTTTTCGTGCACGCCAATATGCACACAGGATTTCGATTTTTCGTCCTACCTAAAAAAAACTGCACGCAAAGTTAGTTGTCGGGCCTTCGGTCAAGAACCACAGACAAAGGGAGAGAACGGGGACCTCTGTTTTGCATACCATCCAAGCGACTAGGCACTAATCCTTGTACCATGGACGAGGGGACGGGCGTTTTTCGTCCCATCGAAACGACTAGACACAGATCCTTGCTAGGCCTTCCATACTTCACCACTGCCAACGGGGAACCACTTTGACCTCGGGTTTTCGTACCATCCAAACGACTAGACACTAATCCTTGCAAGGCCTTCCGTTCTGCAGCAAATGAGCCACGCTGGCCTCGTTTTGTCGTAATATACAAACGACTAGACAATGTTTCATAATTTAGTCATGTTCGCGTGGGTGGGTTGGCAGCAGAATTGATATGTACATGATAGTGACACGAGGAGGGGGGGGGGGGGGAGCGGGGTGTACACAAATCACACAAATCAGAGCTTTGTAATACACGCATATACTTGATATACTAAATACACAAATGGCTGAATTTTGAGACATTTCTGGCACTCTTTTATCACATAATGAGAACACTGCATTAATTTCTATATATCAATAAAATATGCCTCAGACCCATTGTTTATTTTTAAATTTGAATTAGACTCGTAACAAAATATATTTTCTGGCAACAAATAGCATATAAATAAAACTAGATTTACTTTCTGATTATTTTTTTTAAATGAAATCATTCCAGGGCTTTTATTGACATTTCAGAAAATGTAGAGTTGGTCCCATGCACTTGAGGCCAAGGTCCTTGAAGTTGTACAGCTGCACCCGGTGACCGATATTTATTCAACGGGGAATAAGTGATAATTCATATTATAACAGTAAATAATTAAAATATCCCATAGGGATTATAATAATATGTATATCATGTAGGTGTGCATGTAGGTTAAAATTGTGACCTCTGTAAATAGGCCCGTTCCTTGCATTTAGTTTTAGAGTTAGGAGTGCTAAAATTGAGAGAGCGAAATGGGGTTGATCGACCACTCGACACAAACTATGTCATTTCGGGACTAACGTATGGTTCAATTTTATTTCAATAATTCGCTTGCGCGTAGGGGTCTAGCAGTGGGGGGAAACCGGGTGATCCTGAAAAAATACACAGGTTGGACGGGCGACGGAAAGATACCCCAGCAGTCAAAATAGGTCAAAATAGGCGATTTCGGTTTCTAGTGTCGATGCATCGTTACGGTCAGTTTAAAAAATTGTCTTTTAAGGATAATGTGTATAGTACCAATACCTATCACATACGGAAGAGGCGATAAAATCTCTTTGCATTTCCAATTTCAAAATTAATTAAAACCAATATTAAATTCCGAAAATCGTTTTTTTGCTAAAACTCTTTTCTTTTTAATGTGATCAAAATGGGGGTAAAGCACAGAGTCAGGGGTGGTAATGGGCGTATTGTGTCCTAATTTCATGGTTTTCGGACAATCGGTGCCGGTGTCATGGCGAAATTCCACTTTTTCCCCTCATGGAAGCCGTAAATTGACGCAAGGAGTAGGGTCGCCTGTCCAACCTTGTGGGTTTTCTCCGGGTCCTCCGGTTTCCTCCCACTGCTAAAGACCCCTACGCGCAAGCGAATTATTGAAATAAAATTAAACCATATGTTGGTCCCGAAATGACCTAGTTTGTGTCGAGTGGACGTTAAACCCCATTTCTCTCTCTCTCTCTCTCTCCGTAAATTGACTTGAGGCCAGTGTCCTTTAAGTTGTACAGCGGCACCAGGTGACCGATATTTATTTAACGGGGAATAAGTGATAATTCATATTATAGCAGTAAATAATTAAAATATTTCATAGGGATTATAATAATATATCATGTCTGGGTATTACAGGGTTAAAACCAATATTAAATTCCGAAAATCGTTTTTTTGCTAAAACTCTTTTTTTTTAATGGGATCAAAATGGGGGTAAAGCACAGAGTCCGGGGTGGTAATGGGCGTATTGTGTCCAAATTTCATGGTTTTCGGACAATCGGTGCCGGTGTCACGGCGAAATTCCACTTGACAACAACAAACGACTTGAACGAATGCAGGTATCACCTTGAAATTTTCAGGGTGCCTAGGTACCAACGTGAAAAGTTGCTCGCCGGAATTTAGTACTCATGGTACCGTTGGTTCCTGTGTAGCGCATGCGCGAAATCAAAACCAGCTAAACTCGAAAACAACCTTGTCGGCACGGAAAACATCAAAGGAGAAATTCGAATTTTTGAAATATTCAAATACCAAACATTTGACCATGATCCAGGCTATCCTCAAATGTATTAATTTCGGTAATAGGAGACAGATTCTCTAAGCCACGACCAATTGTGTATGTTTTCAAGCCCATAAATGTGGATTTTTCACTAATTTTCATTTTCATTTCAAAATGGTGTCCATCAGTTGACCTAAATCAAAATTCTAAACCGATAGATTTTTAGGCTTTCCTTCAAGCATTCAGAAAATGTAACTCTTATGTCTTTAAGTAAAATATTGCAAAAGCCGTATGGACTTTTCACATTTTGAGATGGTGGCACTTCCGGTTTGCTCGACAAACTCCATATTTTGTGTACTCATCAGTACTGTCTTAGCTAGTACAGAAAAAAAATTTCAGGGCAATCTGACCTATATTTCGTCGATTTTTTTGAAAACTTTGATCCTTAATTTCACCAAGGGGAGATAATTTAGAAAATTTTCAAGGACATCATTGAAGTCGCATTGGCAAGATCTACTAACATTCTAAATTTCACGAAAATCGCACAACTATTAAAGAAGTTGTCAAATTGGTAATAACTTCCGGTTCGAAATGACAGCGACGAATTTTCGAAATGCCAAAATCCGAAATTGCAGATTTGAAGTAAATGTTTCAAGATACTCAAAGAAAAAAGAATTAGTAAAATAGGTCAAATAGTCACAGAGTTACAGCATTGTAGGTCAAATGCATTCCTTCGTAAAATTCGGTGATTTCGGATTCGTAAAACGTTTTGAAAATATATTTAATCAACAGCCACCACCCATTTTTGGGGGGATAGGTAAAAGTTTCAGAACGATCCTATGGTTAGATTCTGAGAAATCCGATTTGTGGACAAAACACAAAAAAAAAATAACAATAATAATCTTAACAGAAACAATAAGCTTTCATATGTAATATGAAAGCTTAATAAAAAAGAAACATGATTCTACCGAAAATTATTGGGACAGATTTTATTTTTATTTAGGATATCTGAATGGGGAACAGGCTTAGTCTATGTAAAACCCCTCTCCCCAGTTTGTTTACTTAATGAATAATTTAAATATTACGACAGTGTATTTGTGAAAAACTGGGGGGTTGGATGGACGTATTGTTAATGCATTGATTCAACTGGCGTTGTACGCGACAAGGAGTAAGGTCGCCTGTCTGACATCGTAAGGTTTCTCCGGGTCCTTCGGTTTCCTGCCGCTGCTAAAGACCCCTACGCGCAGCAAGCGAATTATTGAACCATAGGTTAGTCCCGGTTTGTGTCGAGTGGACGTTAAATCTCTCTCTCTCTCTCTCTGGTGATAAACTATAGGCGTGTTGCCATATCAATTCATCATAAAAAATGCCTCATTTGCAAATAAACACATGTTATGTATGTAAAGTTATAAACGTTAACTCGGTGTTATCATCGTGTTATTTATGTTTATCAATGACGATGATGTTTTTATTTCATTTATTTGACACTTTGATTGACACATCTACACGTAACGGTACATTACAACAGGTGCAATAACAGCCTGACTCACTGCTGGGGAACAAAAACTTCTATAGTAGATAATAATTATGATTCGGAAGTATTTTTATAATCTCATCCATAGTGTTGTATGTGACAAGGAGTAGGGTCGTCTGTCCAACCTTGTGGGTTTTCTCCGGGTCCTCCATTTCTTCCCACTGCTAAAGACCCCTATGCGCAAGCGAATTAATGAAATAAAATTGAACCGTGTGTTAGTCCCGAAATGACATGGTTTGTATCGAGTGGACGTTAAACCCTCTCTCTCTCTCTCTCTCTCTCTTTAATCCGGAACCGAAAATAATCTTACCTTTAGATTTCGTAATGATACCATTGGGATCACAGACCGATGATTTCATGCGTCTGCCACATTTCAGATAATCCGTGGCAGGATCAGGATATTGGTTAAAATTCCATACAGTTGGTAAATAGTCTTGTTGTTGTGCTGGTATAGATGTTATAACTAACACTAACACAACTGTCACATAACACCACATGATAATATATCACTCTGTTTATACACACACCATATAAAACCTGGTTAATGCTGAAATAAAACAACACCACATGTTAATATCACAATATATACATACATCATACAACGTGATTAAAGGATAATATTGGTGTCAGTCATTATCACAATATGTACACATACATCATAATACAAGGTGATTAAAGGACAACATTGGTGTCAGTCATTATCACAATATATACACACACATCATATACAACGTGATTAAAGGACAATATTGGTGTCAGTCATTATCACATATGTGATAGAACTGGTTAAACACGTTCCAAATATTATTTTAACACAGATAGCATTGCCACGATAGATACGTAATGAAGATTTAAAAAAACGGAAATGACGAAAGTCAAAGGAAAAACATGTTGATTAATGTTGAAACAAAACAGACTATGTGTAGGCACGGACATTATAATATTAAAAGGTCCATGGTATAAGTGATTACGTGGCAAGGAGTAGGGTCGCCTGTCCAACCTCGTGGGTTTTCTCCGGGTCCTCCGGTTTCCTCTCACTGCTCAAGACCCCTACGCGCAAGCGAATTATGTAAATAAAATTAAACCATGTTAGTCCCGAAATGACCTAGTTTGTGTCGAGTGGACGTTAAACCCCATTTCTCTCTCTCTCTTTGTATAAGTGATTGTCGTTCGTAGGTGCAGTTGTCGAGCCTGGATTTTCTGGATGGGGAGTCGCAAATCTACCAAGTCTTTCAGTAAACTACATAATTGGCGTTCGTAGGTGCAGTGGTACCGCCTGGTTTCTCCAGTCGGGGCAGTGGAAATTTACAAAACCTTCCGGGGAAATAAAATCCTGGACGCAATTAATTGAAATACTTGAAGAAAGCGCCATTTGAGGGTTGTTATTGTGAATATTCAAGCAAACTTATTATATGAACTTTCATGAACCATATTATAATTCACAGCCACAAAATGGTCGTGTTATTAGGTGATTTATACTAAACACAATTGGGTTCGTGCTTCCGATCTCGGGCCAATTATACGACAATCGCAATCATAGTTCTATCCTCACCAAGGGTATCACACTGAGACATTTCAGGTTAGTTATTAGCATTTTGAACATCGTCGTCAACGGTATTCGGTTTTATACGTCACTGATATAAACTTCCTGTTAACAGAAGATCAGTGCACTGTTTCTCGAAATCTTAAATAAAGATAAAATCCAAATTTTAGTAGATACTTCAATTTTGATTGGTTAAGCACTTAAATCAATTTAATATTTTATCCAATCAAATTACTAAAATTTGGACTTTATCTTAGTTAAAATTTCGTGAAACAGACCCCTGTGCTGTAAATAAAACCTTTATTTACATCAGGAACAAGAATAAAACACATAATCACCATGCATTACTAAAGGCTAGGCCCTAACTCCTTCCAAGCAACCATTCCACATATCTGCCGAATCCAGTGCCTGAGCTCCGGTGAGTCCAGAAGCTCCCCCCCCCCTCTCTCCCTCTCTCTCTCTCTCTGCCTGCTATTAAGGGTCTTATATACAGAATCCAAATGTTCGTTTAGTTAAAGTTGCAGCATACATGGCACATCATAGCACGTGCCTGACCTCTATTATGTATAACACCACGTGACTGGCCTCTATTATCTATTGGTCAATAGTTTTCTAATTTCTTAATTAACTCCAGATATCCAACTTCTGTCTGAATTTGCTATTGGGGTTTGTAATTCAATATATCTCTCGCTTTGTTAAGATTTTACATAGCCACCATTTTTGTTGTACCTATATATACGTACTTCTTGTATATAAAGAAATTAACAGCTGAGGTTAACTTGTACCAAGGACCTTCTGTGTTTCAAGTCCAAATCCAACCCTCTCTAAATTTAAACATTAAAAGTTGCGGGTGTCGGGCATAATATGAAAAGAAATGAAACGGTGTTTGACGCCTTAGTCTTCTGCTCCAACTGAGCTAATGAAGACGGGCATACGTCATACAGTGGTCTATGAGAAAAATTTGCCCGGACAGCAGCACTTTGGCTTACTCTTATACGAATTCCAACTTCCAAAGTATCTTTTACGTGCACGCCAATGTATACACGAGACCTCGTTGTTTTCATCACACCCGAACGACTAGACAGCAGTCCTGCACCACTGATAAGGGGAAACCACCTCGGAATATCCCGTGTTGGGCAGGAGACCGGAACTGTATTAGCTTATCACCTTATTACATGCATGTAATACAAATATAGGCCTACCTACCCTATCTATTTATACAGCTATCGTCTTCTCTCACGTGCACACACGAATAGAATATCTCTGATAATCTGCATGCGGTGATAAAACATATACTTTTGTACTGATTCATGAACGCTACATGCGTACACAACACACCTAACAGATACAATAGAAATTCATGGCGGACAATTCAAGTCTATTTCAATGAACTTGTATGTGTTTCGGTCATGTCAATCATTAATCATAGCCCCGCAGTAAATGTCAAACAATACTTCTGACATGCATTGAAGACATAATAATGAATATTTGAATATCAGGCTGTCATAAAATACAAAGTAAACTCGCCATTGAAGGTAAAGATGCATTATGTAAGATTTATAGATAAAGAGCTGGACGTTCTTGCTATGATAGTTCAAAAATGGAACGAAGTTATGAGTGTTTGAAGTTTTAACGAAATAGTCTCAGAGATCTAGACTCAGAGTGAAGTATTCTCTATTCATTATCTATTAATTAACTATTACACTGAAAACTGTCAACAAAATAGTCTCGGAGATCTAGGCTCAGAGTGAAGTAGTTTTCACTGAAATTTTCAGCATATTCTCTTTTCATTATCTATTAATTAACTATTATACAGAAAACTGTCCCCCCTTATCTAATCTAACCAAAGGCCTTTATTTGAGGATTAAAACGATTTCAAAAATATATCATATTTTCTATGATAACTGAAAGTAGCGGTGATTCAGTGAGTAATGCACTGGCTCATTAACTAGGGGGGGGGGGTGTCCAAGGTCAAGGTTAGATCTAAGTTTTGGCCGAGAAATTCCCCCGGGATTTCCCAGCGTGGTTCCCCCTTGCCAGCGATACGGGACATGTTCTGCGTATTTGCGTATGCCCGTTTTCATTGGCCCAGTCGGTGCAGAAAAGTAGGACATTAAACCCATTTCATTTTATTTCTAGTACATCCCACAAGGACAGCTGTCTAGGGGACGAAAAACCGAGGTCCGCTTGTACACATTGGCGTGATGCAGGAAAGAGGGGCTGACAAGGAAAGCTGTCTAGTCGTTCGGATAGGACGAAAAACCGAGGTCCCGTGTACACATTGGCGTGCACGTAAAAGATCCCTTGACAGTTGGAATTCGATATAAGAGTAGGCCGTAGTGCCGCTCTCCGGCCAAAATTTCACTCATAGTACACTGTATGGCGTATGCCCGTCTTCATTAGCCCAGTTCGGAGCAGAACAGTAGGACGTTAAACCCTATTATATTTCCTTTCATTTCGTACATCCCACTGTATTTGTTTACAGTAATTAACTGATAAACACATTCCCAGTACGTTACTCGTATTTTACAGTGCCAATTTATATCTACATTCATACCTCACAGGTTAATCATGTAACCCCTGAATCATTTGTGAATCAACGAATCTGAATCGTGAATGATTGTTTAAACAATTTGTAGACTATATCTTTATCACTTTCACAGCATGCTAACCATTTCTTCATCGGTTGATGAAGAAATGTAAAGCGTTAAAACTTATTTCATTTCACAATATGTTAAAGGGGCCATGGCGCTTTAAAAAACTATTTCGATTTGCCGTAATCTAACTATAAAATTACTTCATGGGTGCAGCGATAAATCTGTCAATATGAACGTTTACATTGGTCTTCAAAGAGTCTCATGCACAAGAAGTCACGGGGGTCCGGGGGTCGATTTTCAATGTTGGCCGAAATGTCATTTATACTATTTCCAACATATGGAATCTTTGACCATATCTTGTGAAAATATTCCTGCTATTTTTGATGACAAGCAGACGATCAGAAATACCATTCAAATAGATTTATTTATAACGTATGTAAAGAATAGAAGTCTTCGTATCCTTGTGGCATCCATATGGTACCCTTGGGGTATCACAGACGAGCTGAATTACTTTTTTTTTCAAAGTCAATAACGTGGCTTGAGTTTCACATCCGTTGTTTTCTCGGCGTCCCTCGGTTTCCCCCCACAGCTAAAGACCCCTACGCGCAAACGATTTAATGAAATAAAGTTTAACCATATGTTAGTCCTGAACGAAATAACCTAGTTTGTGTCGAGTGGACCGAGTGGCCGTTCAACCCACTCTCTCTCTCTCTCTCTCTCTCTCTCCGGGGATCACGTGGCTAAGTGGGTAAGATTCTGGTTCGCTAGCGTGGAGGTCGGGTGTTCATCCAGATTTGGCCGAGAAAGTTCATCCAGATTTTCCGGCGTGGTTCCCCCTTGTCAGTGATGCAGGACGGAGGGCCTGACAAGGACAGCTGTCTAGTCGTTCGGATGGGACGAAAAACCGAGGTCCCGTGTACACATTGACGTGCACGTAAAAGATCCCTTGACAGTTGGAATTCGATATAAGAGTAGGCCGTAGTGCCGCTGTCCGGGCAACATTTCCCTCATAGCACACTGTATGACGTATGCCCGTCTTCATTAGCCCACTTCTGAGCAGAACAGTAGGACGTTAAACCCCATTTCATTTCATTTCATATCTCTCTCTCTCTCTCTCTCTCTCTCTCTCTCTCTCAGATTCACACGGTAAACGGTAAATGATCAACATACTATATTGGCATACAGGTAAATTAACACGAGGAGGTCTGAATTTATCTACAGACTAAGTGATATAAATGATAACAACTAAATAGTAATATCACAACATTTATCTTGAGTTCAAACTGATGTTATCTACTTGTATTTAATGTTTTGTGGCAGCACCTGTATTTAATTACCGGGTTTTAAGAGAAAGGTCAAGGGTCAGGGCCCTGTTTCACGAAATTTTAACTCGTATAAAATCCAAAT